AATGCTGACAAATGTTTTTAACATTATATGAGCTTTGTTCCAATTTGTAGTGCTAACTCATCCCAGAATGGGTCAACTTTTACTACTCGAACCCTAACCTACTATGTCTTCAGCCTCGGCAAAATGATGTTAGGTCATGGAAAAGGTGGTGAGTAATACATTGTATTGTGAAACCAAATGAAAAGACATCATGGTTTTCTGCAAGGACAGATGATCCATATGACGGAAGTGAGTAAGTCTTGGTTTTTTTTTTCTCCTTTTATTGTCTAAACAACGTGCTAAGAAAGGGGAAAAATTCCACCTGACTAGACAATATTCCTCACTGAGAAATTAGATACCAGATTTAAAGTGAGGGAATATCAAGTGCTTAAAATTTACATAATAAATGTCATCTTCTAGGGGGTACCCCCACCCCATGACAGTTCATTAATCCCCATGGAAATAATGTCTAATCCAACCTAGCTACCCCAAAATGTGCTTTCATTTTCATAAACTCCCTTAAAAATACTTTACATTGATTGTTAAAAATTTGGGGGACAGTCATCAAATTTCAGGTTTTTCTTATTCATAAAATGGTCTTGTAATACTTTAATTTTACAGAGGAAATATAAGGATTAATGAGGGCATGCTGTAAAACATTTCAATCCACTCAAATGTATTTTTTCCATATAATGTCTATGCTTAGTAAGAAGTATATACTTCTGAACCCACACTCGAATCTCCTGGGAGAGTTCTGCCTTGGAGTCTCATAGCTGTACATCATTGATTGAGATAAATGGTTATATTAGATTTATGGTACTTTCATCACCCATTCTATCCACCTCCTCCATCAATACCCTAACACTTCAAGGCAAACAGACACGATTCATGACTATAATGAAATATAAAAACATCCTGGATTTTCTTTCCCCAAAAAACTGTCCCCCAAAATTCTGCCCCGAAACAAATATACAAGTATATTAATCAAGTATCAGAAAGTGACTCCAAAGGAAAGAATATGACTATGGGAAATGGGGTGGGGGAGTTTAAGCATTTAATATACGTTTTCATACTAAATATCAAATAATAAAAATATACCTCTGTTTGAAGAGTCAAGTCATTCAAATACGTAAAGGCAAATCAATTGTTTCCAGCTGTAATCAGCGATAAGAACCCAAGTACGTGAGCGCATGAGAAAGATCAGTTTCCTTTTGAGGTTACATGATAAGCAGCAGCAGTTAAAGCAGTCTTTTTCTCTAAGGACTCCATAAGACCTCGTGGCAAGATGAAGCCAGCCCGGGTCTACAGTCCCCTTTATAGGGTTGCTTTCTGTTAATCATTCGAGGGATGGAGGCGGGAGGGGGGGGAGCTAAGAACCGGTTTTTTAAAATACAGAATATGCTCGAACTCTCGTTTGAACAGGGTTGCGTGGGCAGAGAGGAGGGGCAGAGGAGGCAAGGAGGGGGCAGCGAGGACTGAGTTCGTGGACTTTTTCTGCTCGCTGGAATTTCCCAGGCCAAAAAGGTACCGACAGAGTCCGGACATTCCCCTTGAGGGCCGCCCCCAAGACCTGGAGTGGAACCGTGTGGAGGAATCAGAAGCAAATCCATAAAGAAAACATTTCTCTTAGTGATGCATTTTTAAATATCTCTCATAGAATCTGCCGCCAGCATTAGGTTTATCTACTGATTAATTTCTTCTCTTTTTTATCTCGCTTTTTCTGTTTGGTCTCTAAATGTATGTGGTGGGTGGGTAAGGAGGTGGCAAGTGAGTACTTTCTACAACACTGCTTTTTAAATACTGCAGTCAAAATGCAGACATGGTGCACTTTCAAATTAAAGGACCAGGATATAAATAAAGTGATAAGAAGCAGTGATCCTGTAACAGGGGAGAGAGGAGGCTGAAGTGTGGGAAATTTAAACACACTGAACCATTGCACAACAAAGAATTTTTCCTATGACATTTAGTTTCACTGTGCTTCTTTTCCTTTTGGGACACTTGCTACTGTAATCTCTGTACTGCTTCCTTTTTCTATTATTATCTTCTTCAGGCAGTTTTATAATTCAGCTTTACAATTAGACAGGAAATTTCTGCTCCACCAGATGAATGAGCACATAGACTTAAAGAACAGCAGCCTGACTTCCTCTCATTTAATGCAGAGTATTAAAAAAACAAAATATAACACATTCGTGTTCACACTTTTTAAAAAAGCTCAAATGCATTTTCAACTTAGACTGAAGTTGGTGAAGTGCATCTCCTACTCTTCAACCTTCTCTAACCTAACTTCTGCCCTTAGTAGTCCTCTAATCTAGAATCACCTCTCATTTGCCCAGGATTCCTAGGTGCCTCTAGTACTCAGGGACTGCGGTCTCACCTTCAAAGAGGAAAACAGCACCTTTGAGATCTTGTTTACTTACTGCACACTGAAGACTCAGGCATATTCTTAGTGCACTGAGACTGTACTGTAGACATAAACCTTGGGGAGAACGATGCTTATCATTAAAGAGTGAATATGCTGAAATAGAATTTCTGGCATAACCAACTAGCTAATGCTAACAAAATGAATTTACAAAGATGTGAGCATTATGACTGGGGAGAGCTTATTTCTGGTCTTTCCTTGGGTATTTGTTTCCCGGTAGTCTTCTTAGTAATTGCTTTTCCTTTAACAGGCCCCAGAAACAGACTCACCTCCAATATATAATACACAGTTAAGGAAAGGCTCACTATAAGTATTCTTGCCAAGACCCCACTGTATCAATCTGAAAGTTATTATCAGGAAATTAAGCCAGGAAGTCAAGTAGTATTTAATAAGATGATGGCTGTTCAGAATGGTAAAATGGATCCCATTGGAAGACAAAAAGTCTGTTTAATACTTGCAAAAGGTAGGTTATTCTTAATAAGATAACTTCAAACAGCATTACACATCAATCATTTGAGTTCCACAATATGAGGTCTCCAAATGAAATTAATGTCATCCGAAACAAAAATCCAGACTTTGACACAATGAAATTATATATAAGCAATTTTAAAACCTTATTATTACCTAAATGTCCAACCATGTGGCCAATGTATGTAAATAACATCATTACCTGAACTGTCAAGCAAACTTTATAAGTTATCAAAACATAGAAAAATATTTGTATGTAAATTTAAAAAGCTATAATTATATATTCTCTGAGATTAAAGCTATGTATTTAAAAATACCTCAGGAAAAAAACCCAATATGCTAATATTCATTGTGTTCAGATGATAGAATTATGCATTCCACCCACAGGTTTTCTTTTAAATTTTAATATTTTTCAGGGCCTCCCTGGTGGCTCAGCGGTTGAGTGCTGGGTTGCAAAGCTGCCCGCAGCGTCTACAGCACCGGTTGGATCCCCGGCAGAGGCAGACGGGCGAGGATCCCACATGGTGCGCAGACCTCTCCTGCAGCCCGCTGCTCCCCTCAGCAGTGTATTTTGTCAGTCTCCCTGTTCTGCTCTCCTCCGCTCTGGCTCTGGTGAATTCTCTCACTCCCGCTCCTGACTGTACCCAGTGCTTGTATAAATAAATAAAATAAATCTTTAAAAAAAAAGTAATTAAAAAATAAAAATTAAAAAAATAAATTTTAGTATTTTTTAAATTATGATGTACTGCATATTTACAATGTAAAATACATATTTTTAAAACTATTATTTGGCTTGTTTGCTAATATTCACAATTACATAGTAGTGGCCTAAAATAAAGTTTTCAGAAGAAATTAAAACATTGTATCTAATTGTTCTGAGATTTTGGTAATATTCCAATTGTCTACACATACACATATTTTTTAACTTCCACAGCCCAGTGTAGAAAAACAAATTAGGAAGACAGAAGTGACAGAATATGTCAAGAAACTGTGTCATCAAATATTTAGAAGCTTATGGTACTAAATTAAAAAATAACAAAAACTAGATAAGATCACAAGAAATCATTTGCATAAGAGTAGTATCACTCCAAAGCCCTGGAAAGGCAATGTCCTCTTTTCTTGAAATTTGCCTGCAAAGATGACTCTTCATTCTTCTCTAGCAATCCTTGAGAAAATGATCAAAAGTTTTTTCAAGGAAAAGAAAAGCTCTCCATATAAAAGGCCTAAGTTGTAGTTGAAATGGACTATAAACTCTCACATACCTTAGTTCAAATCCAAACTCAAGTTCCTCATCTATAAAATGGAACTAATATCAGCTATGCTATTATCATGCTCAGAATTGCTTTGGTCACAGTCCCTTAAGTTATAGACAAGCAATATTATTTCCTTAGTTCTGTCATCTTTCTTCTCTTGTTGGTGTTTCTCAAAATGTAGAAATCACCATTGCATCAGAATCACTGGGCAATTGTCACAAAGGTTGATTCCACAATTCCTAGAGGCATGGCCCCCTAATCCTGCATTTTTATTAAATATTCCAAGTGATCCTTCAACACTCTAAAACTTAATGACAAAAGTAAGCTATCTTATATTTAGCTATTTGGTCCTCTTCAGACTCAGAAAATAATTAAAAATCTTCCTTCCCCGTACACGTTTTAATAAACATGAAGGTGGCCCTCAAGGCTAGGAAAGAAAGATGTTAGACTCTGTTTTAAGTTAAAAACTCAAATTCCTTGACCTATTCTTATAAGAGAGTTATTTTCCATGTGTTGAGCAACTGTCTTCATTTCTAAAATCTCCCTAGCTTCTTCATCATGTCCATTTAAGGAACACTAAAACTAGACTATAACTTATTATGGTCCAAAAATAAAGGATACTTCCTAAATGGTCCCAAGTTTATTTAAACTCATTTGAAGTTAGTTAAATAAAGATGGTCAAGTAAAATTGATAATTTAATTATTTTGAAAGTTAAGAGGAATAGCAGTTTTTCATTTCTAAGCATGAGTGATGTGGATAACTTATGCCCCAATCAAGAAATATCTGTCGTGGATTTCAGTGTCTAACTTGAATTTCTAATTAATTTTCTAATTAACTAACAAATTAAATAACCAAAAAAAAAAAACACTTGAAATTGGTAGAAATAATTACCACAACTTTATAATAATTATCACTCTTTATATAGAAGTCAATTTTTTAAACTGGCAAACTTCAGAACACAAAAATAAATTTCCATTTATACATTTCCCCCTTCCAGTTCCAAAAGTGGTTATTTTAGAATAAATATTCATCAAGCAAATTTAGCTGAATCAAAGAAGAAACAATCATCCAATGCAGACATCAATTCAAAGCACAAATTTTAGATATACAGCTTTCATACTTTGGTTTCTTTTCTAGATGAAAGCAGGACATTGTAAATTTTCTCCTAGAAAATTCTGATCAGAAGACTGGCTTTTTTTCATGAATTCAGAAAAGGTGAGCCAACAAGAGAAACTCCTGTGACATGGCAATCTTCACTGTGTTACAGGAGCCACTAACTATAAGCCTCATTATGATGATCTCTGGCTGAAGAGGGACCAATTATGCTATTCATGCAGATGAGCTCAATTTCCTTTGCCAGATTAGCTACAAACACTGCATTACCAACCAATCTTCTCCCTTCCATTTGGGTCAGAACATTTTTCATACTTTTAGCACAGTAATCTCTCCTCCCAGGAGAAGTTAATCAAACACACTTATTAGCATCTTTGGTTACAAGGGCAATATGGTGTATAGATGCTATTAATAATGGTTCTCCCGTGGCTAAGTCAAGATTGGGGAAAATTCTATAGGTAGATATAAATGTAAACTGCATTTTCCTAAGTTTCTTATAAGTCATTATACAAAGTCTAGTACTTTATGCAATTTTGCACATATCAATGGCAGCCGTCTTCTCAAGGAGCCCCATAAATTTTGCGTAATGCAGACAATCGAAGAGGTCACTGAATGAGATTTCTTTAGCCCCCTCCATGGCAGGCTATGTCTCCAAGGGACACACAAAGGACAAGAACATGTCCAGCTGGTTCTTCACAATAACTTCATCTGGATGTAGCTTGTGGGGTAAATAATGGGCCAGGGTCATCTCCCAAGCATCAACAAGATATACTCCAACCCCTGAGAACATCTTCCGAAGGACAGTGTCTAATTGAAAAGTGTACCAGTCGCTGTTGAAAAGGCTCACCTCAGGCCCCAACTCTTGGGCATTGGCTGTCCGGATGACAACCACAGTTTTAGGGCTTCGATCCAAGAGCTGGACTACAGCTCGACGGATGTTCCTGAGTCGCCGGATGTACACTTCCAAGGGAAAGGTGCTAAAATGAGACCATATAGCTATGGCAACCACTGTGTTCTTCCCTCCCACTATGCCATTTAGCTCATTTGCCACATAATGGAGCTCACTGCTAAAGACGGTTGTGAAGCGGATGGGTGGACCATGGCAGCGATATTTGAGCAGGATGCTGTGCTTCTGGTCCACTGCGAGGAAGGGACCCACATTCTTGGGACTACCCAAGTTAAACTCCACCAAATCTGCAACAGAGAAAATTCAAATTCATAAAAATGTTCAAATGTGCTTCTGAGAATAGATTTTAAAACAAATGTACAAAAAAGGTATACTGCAAATACAAAGTATCTATTCCAGTACAACTTGGCCCCTTTTGAATTAATGGACCTTTATTTTAATCTGCTTATTATTTACATGACAGAAACATAACATTATAAGTAATAGCACCAATCACTAATTTTAAACCTATCTCTATAGTCCAGAAGCAAAATAACCTGTTTGTCTATTAGGCCAAGAAATCTTCACGTTTACGCTGAGTGTTGACTATCTAAAAAGTTTACGTGGTATTTACACTTCATTGTTCTAATGGATAAATATTATTTCTTCCAGGACAAGGCCTGTAACTCCTGTTTTATGAATAGATATTAGTAACTAATGCCTCCCTTTTGCAATAAGCATAAGAGAGCAAATCTGTTTCTTTTGATTTTCAATTTTACATTAATGGATGAATAATCACTTCTTAAAGAACTTCTACCTGTGATAAAAGTAATAAAGATAGCCACACAACTCAGAATTCTCTTCTCTCCCTTTTCTCCATTGAAGTTGTGCTTCTAAGTCCTGCTACTCTATAGTCGTCTGAAGGTCCCAGGAACCTGCAGTTATAACCCTTTGCTATTCTTAAAAACTTTCTCTGTACAACTCATCACTTAACATATGTTACATGAGGAAAAAGAATCTGCCTCATTTCCCTAAATATACCTATAAATGCCTTTACAGGACGGACTAGGTAACTTCTGGCAATTCAATTCCACTAACCTATTGGGTTCTCACCACTATATAATGCTCAAGAAGATAGGTCACAGCCCTTGCCCTGAGGGCATTTACATTCAATTTGAAGAAATAACATTAAACTATAATTATGCTGTATTCTTCTTAATGGTTAAAGTAAAGGTTTCACTTTTTCTCCACGAAGTCCCAAGTTCCTCTTCTAGATTTTCCTACTTAATTCATTACAACTTAGCATTTGGCCCCAATTAAGTTGAATAAAAGCTCAAGCTCCCATCCTCTATTTAATTAAAATCAAGCACCAACACAAGGCTTTACTGGGTGAAAATATGTTGCAAAGGGTAGGGTGGAAAATAATCGAGATACTCAATGTAATTGTTGCTGCCAAAGGAAATACTGAGCTACCTCATTAAGAATCAGGCAACTATGGGGGCCTCCCTGGTGGCACAAGTCATTAAGTCTCAGCACTATGAAGTTATCAGTAGCCACTGCAGCACGAGTTCTATCCCTGGCCAGGGAGCTGACCAACATGGCCAGCAGACCTCTCCTCTCTCGCTGGCTGCTCCCCTCAGCAGTGTATGTCAGTCAATCTACCTGTTCTGCTCCCCACTCTGTCTCTGGTGAATCCTCTTACCCCCTGCACCTCTGGCCTACACCTCAGCTCCTGTATGCACAAAATAAATAAAACAAATCCTTAAAAAAAAAGGAATCAAGCAACTATAGACCCCTGCAATATACAGCCAAGTCAGCAGTCAACGGAGCCTCGCATCATGCCATATAAATTACTTCCACTATGCTGATTTTTTAGTTTATGCTTTATCAACTAGAACTAAGCTATGTCTGTTTCAATAAAAACAAGCAAAACAAAAACTAGAATTAATTTCCACTCTTGGGGTTCTTATTTACATCCTCCTTTCCTTCTAAAAATTAAACTTGAAGCTAAGTTGATGTAATAAAGGAAAAAAAATCACAATCAACAACACACAACAAACCACATACAGTCAAAATAACAGTTCCCACAGAAGAATTTATCAACTCTCTAAATTGCAAGTAGAGTTGTTATTCCTTATCCTTGGGATCTACCCTTGTCACCCATCCATACTACTTTCAGGAAGAGAAAAAGACCAGTTGTGAATAAGGGAGAGTCCAGCCCTCCAGTGAGTGGGGTTTTATTTTGAGTCTGGAGAGCAGCCCCAGAGCCAAAAAGTGAAGTCAAGAAGCTGAGTGTGCTGAGACTCACCCTGACTCCATCAGCAGTCAGCTCCATCTCAGGGTCACACTAATGGAAGGACCAATGGATGACAAGGGGATGGCTTTGATGCATGAAGAGTCAGTGGTCCAGATTCTGCTTAAATCTATTATTATCATGAAGTTGAAACAAAGAGAACTGGAAGATAAACAGCTAAAATACCCACCTGTATCTTATAGCCCAGAATACTGGAAAGAAAGACACCTGTGAGGTGATATGATCTAGCTGCCTTATCTCACACATGGAAAACTAAAGCCCTGAGAAGTGAATGACTTGTCCAAGGTCACACAACTTGTCAGAGGTATGAATTTCTAAGAGAACCCAGGGCTTTCATCAATACATCACAGCCTGCCCTCAGCCCCCAACCCTCACTGATAAGAAACTATTACACATCTCTCTAGGGTTAGCACACCTCTTCCAAAGAAACAACTGCTTCATCACCTTTCTTCATGTAAGTTAGTAGTGCTTATTTCAAGCTGATTTCATGTATGGGGGGCAAGAGTTATTAAAAAAAAAAATACCAACCTGGAACAAATGTAGTAAGGTATTCAAACCATTGCCTGATTGTTGAGTCACCAAATAAATACACCACTTTTCTGTGTAAGCATTCTGTAATGTTGTCAGGGTCATTAAACTGGCGCATCTTAAATTTTCTGGGTCTCCATTGATCTTTGTAGTAATACCCAGAAGGAAAAGTTCCTAAACCTTGAGATAGCTCTAAGTTAGTTTCTGTGAAAAAAAAGGGGAAAAAAAAAAGATATTCTATAATTCTCTCCTATAAACAACACTTGAAAACACAATTATGCCATGTACTTGTTAGCCTGGTAGCATAAGGATGCTATTTCCTGGCGTCACATCTCAAAGAAATCCCAGATTTTCCCCTCGCCACAAAAAGTTCTCCTTTGTCCAAAAATGAGAAGATCTGAAACTGGTATGAGGTTACTGGTGGACAGATGGGAAAAAGAGGACTTTGAACATTTCCTCTGATTATGCATGTCTTTTATCAAATCCAAAAATAAAGGCAGGCAAAAACTGAGAAAATGTGTGAACATAGGAATTGTCAAGCATTAACCAGAACAGAACAGTTTGTCATGCAAATGCCTAAAGAAAGTAACAACCTACATTCATATTTTGTATATGCACAGTAATATTGCTTCAGTGTTTATCAGCCCACTAAACAAAGTTTTATTTTTTATACTTTTTTAAATTTATTTTCCTACATCATTGTTAATTTGGGGGCAGTATTTGATCTCTCCCCTCACGTGCAGTGCCCACAGTTCTCCCACCACCACAGCACCTGTGATCCATCTCCACAGCCCCTTGTGCTTCTCCCTCCCCTGTTTCGACCCTTCTTTCTCCCCGCCCCTATCACAGATCGATGGTCAGCTTGCAAGTTTTGTCTTTTTCCTGATACTTTGTTCAGTTTCTCTATATTCCACATATAAGTGAAACTATCTGATATTTATCTTTTTCCTTCTGACTTATTTCACTTAGCATAATTCCTTCCAGCTCCATCCATGTTGCTGCAAATGTCATGAACTTATCTTTTTAGATCGCCAAGTAATATTCCATTGTGTACATATATCACATCTTCTTGATCCATTCATCTGTTTTGGAGTATTTGGGTTGTTTCCATATCTTGGCTATTGTAAACAGTGCTGCTATAAATATAGAAGTGCAAGTTTCCTTTCAAATTAGTGTTTTTGTGTCCTAGGGGTAGAATCCTAGGAGTAAATCCCTGAACCATATGGTAGATACATTTTTAGTGTTTTGAGGAACCCCACACAGCTTTCCATAGTGGCTGGACTAGTTTACATTCCCACCAGCAGTGTAAAACTGTGAAAGGAAAGTTTTAATATGTGGGCCCTACAATCAAATATTAATTCAGAAAGCCATCACTTAATTGAGAGAATAAACCAATGACATATAGTCTAAAGAACTATTTCCTACAGTAAAGAAAGTTCATAAGGTCTTTATGCATAATGAACAATATTAAAAATATATCAGCAGTGTTACTCGTGGATGTAGCCTGAATGTACACGGTAACACAAGCACTAGGACACCTTTCATAGGGAGAGTCAACATTCTTACGCCATAATACCTCCCTTGGAAAAATGCCACTGAGGAAACAACATGCTTTATGCTTTAAAGCAGACAGAGGTGACTAATATTTCATGTAAATTTACTTTGTTTCAGACACTTTTCTAAGCAATTAAATGTATTATCTCATATGATGTGCACAATAATCCTTTAAGGCAGGTCTTATTATTACCCCTGCCTTTCAGAACTTGACCAAGGTCTAAGAGCTAGTTAAATGGTAAAGCCAGGACCTGATCCAAGCAGGTGTGCCACAAAGTCCAGGCTCTTAACCACTGTGCTACGTGTCTCTCAAAAACAGATGTTCATAGATGTCAACCATTTTCTTCTAAGCTTTCCCCCTGAAGATGTGTGCTTATTCATTCCTAATATTTACTCCAAGATATAACCTTCAAAAGATCAAATATCAGTATTTTGTATCATTTCCTAATATTATATATCCTAATGTTATATATCCTTATATATCATTAGGCTCAAATCTTGATCATAATGCAGTAATTCCACAGTTTCACCTATTGAACCACAATTTGAAATGCAAATGTTTATTAAAAGTCGGAAATTTAAAATTTAAGTGAGTCTCCAATTTGTGACAAGTTTCAGTTTTTTTGACTTCTTGATATCACCCATATTACTTAAAATTATTTTGGTTTTATTCCTTCAAAGAATGTCTTATTTGAAAAAGAATACATTTTAATCATTTTTCTTAAGCACCTACTAATTCATGTTAAAGCTGCACAGGCCAGAAAACTCCAGAGCAGACACCTTGGCCCCAAAGAAAACATCTGCTGGAATGGGAATTAAAAGCGATGTTGAAATTACAAATTTTTTCCCCATGGTTAATTCAGTATTTGTGGTTGTTCTGTGTCAAATATATGTATAAAGAAAAGTGCGTATCACACAGGAAACAATTACCATTTCCATTCAATGTTAATTATATTTACTACCAGAGTTAAGTCAAGCAAAGCAAATCAATTACTGAACCTGACATTAATTCTTTAAACATACAGTGCTAGATAACAAAACTTATTTTGAAAGTGAAATGCATGTACCTACATTGCCCTCTTATGGTCAGATGGCGCAAGGACATTTCCTAAGTCTTAATATGATTTTAAGTAGTTTAAAGTCCACCTGGAAATGTTTTATATGTTCTAAACATTCTATACATTTTTTGATATAGAATCCATCTGGACTTTATTTGACACATAATACATATGGCTACAGGAACAGCAAGCTGAAGAGAAAAAGGCAAAAAAGACGCCATTCTAATTTATAATTAACATGAGGGCAAGTCATTAAATGAATAACAAACAATTAAGTGAGAGGAAGAATTCTTTTTAGTTCCCATTCCTTTGGATTTCCCACTCTTTTGTCCAACGGACAAATGTGTTTTGAGTCTGCAAGAGATGCAGTGGAAGTAAAAAGTGGTTACAGACTCCTCGCAACGGTACACTCTTCAGGAGCAGTGGAAGCCTGGTTAGCTTGACATTCAATGTAAAGATCCATAAGGTGGCAGATGGCACAATTATCAGCCACAATATTCCAGGCACAAAGGGCTACTGCATTCTACCTTTTCACTTCAAAGGCTTCTTGCCTGTGTCACTGTTGGTGCCTCTCACAGTATCCCATCACCGCCACCACTTTGGAAACAAATGGTCTTTCTTCCTACCCACATTTTATTTCTTGATGTGGGTAGAAGTTACTTTCTTAAGTTTTCTATTGTTATGTAAGGAATCATGATGCAATTAGTGACTTAAAAACAAGAGACATCTGCTATCCCACAGTTCTGTAGGTTAAGAGTCCAGGGCTTGGCTCAGTGGAATTCTTTGCCAGGGTCTCACAGGTTGAAATTAGGGTGTGAGCAGAGGATTGTGCCTTTCTGAGATCTCTAGAGAATAATCAGCTTCCATGTTCTTTCAAACTGCCAGTCAAATTCAGTTCCTTGTGGTTGTAAGAGTGAGTTTCTCATTTCCTGGCTGATTTTCACCCAGGGAATGCCCTTCAGCTCCTAGCAGCAGCCTACATTCCTTGTCATGTGACCGCCTCATCTTTAAAGCCAACAATGAAGAAATTTCCCTCTCATGTAATTCCCACTTTCAATTTCTTTCTTCAGGAAGAAATTGGCCCCTGTTAAGAGCTTGTCTAATTAGGTTAAATGACTTTTTTTTAGTAAGCCACCTTTGCAATAACACTGAATCATGGGAATAATATCCCATCATATTTACAGATCCTTCCCATACTTAAGGGAAAGGAATTATATTAAGGCATCGCTCACTGGGAATCATCTTGGAATTCAACCTACCACAACAACAAAGATAGATATAAATATAAAGTTCCATTATACCACATATTTACAATATGTATACACTATATATATGAAATATATTGCACTAAATAAAAATATTAGAGATGTAGGGGCCTCCCTGGTGGTGCAAAGGGTTAAGACGCAACCTACAAAGCACGCAACCACAGCCACTGCAGCACGAGTTTGATCCCCGGCCAGGGAGAAACCCACATGGCACAGAAGACCTCTCCTGACTAACCCACTGCTCCCCTCAGCAGCATATTTCAGTACATCTGCCTGTTCTGTTCCCCATTCTGTCTCTGGTGAATCCTCTTATCCCCCTCCCCCCACACCTCTGGCCTGTACCCCAGCTCTTGTATGCATAAAAATAAATCTTCAAAAAAATATATTAGAGATATAAAGAGATTAGTATTTACCCTATTGCTATTAGATCTAATCTTATCCCAAACTAAATAAGCTAATTGCCCCCCGACCAAAAAAAAAAAGAATTCCAGTTTAGTAGTTGATGAGGTTAGAAGTCATCATGGTCTTTTAGCCATTAGGCTAGATGGTCTAGGGACGACAGCACAGGGGCTAATGAAAATTCAGAAATAATCCTGATGCTGGGAAAGCCTGTCAAAAACCAGTCACTTGCACTTAATAAGGTAGTCTAGTCTAATTAAAAGCTATTTCTCTTTTCTGCTCCCCACTCTCTCTGTGGTGAATTCTCTCACCTCCTGCACCTCTAGCCTGCATCCCAGTTCTTTAAAAAAAAAAAAAAAAAAAAAAGAATATCTGCCCTTGGTTTCATATCCTTGAGTGCCTCCTGCTGGTCACTACAGTAGCTGCAATGAAGTTAAGCTACAAAGGGGTTCCATGATATATAAAGCAATTGCCCCTCGCTCTTCTTTCAAATTATCTATCTGCTCCAAGACAGTTTTTTCGAAGTCAAATTATATTGTTCCTACTCGTTCCTGGTTGCTTCCTCTCATTTCCTCCTCTAAAAATCCATTAAAATTTTCACTTGTTGCTAAATCCGTCTTCTCTATAGACAGAACAATGTATCACAAACCCACAACTACTTCCTGGCTAATCTCCAATACCTATCTGGTACAGGTAAACCGTCCAAAGCTCCTCCCATTGACCATGGCCATTGGATACCCAGGAACATCACAGATGGGAGAGATCACAAGCCAGACAGTTGCAGTTGGGAGACAGAAGGACAGATTCAGTAGTAGGATTGGGCCCCTAGAGGAGTCCAGCATGAGAAGAGTGAGATGTACAATAACACTAGGGGATAACATGTCCACTAACATCTTAGTTAAGGGGTTGAGGCCTAGGCAAATAAAAGATTAGTATTTGTGCTGACACTGCACATATGAATCTTTTAAGATTACTGGCTCATTTGGCTTCCCTGGTGGTGCAAGGGTTAAAGTCTCAGCGCTCTCAAGCTATAGCTAGCCACTGCTGCAGGAGTTGGCTCCTTGACCAAGGAGCTCATCTACATGGCGCAGCAGACCTCTCTAGTCTTGCCAGGTACTCCCCTCAGCAGTGTATTTCAGTAGATCTGCCTGTTCTGCTCTCCATTCTGTCTCTGGTGAATCCTCTCACCACTCCCCTACCCCGCACCTCTGGCCTATACGGCAATTATTGTATCCATAAACAAATAAAATAAATCTTTAAAAAAAAGAAAAGGTTACTAGTTCACTGAGTTCAAGTAAATCAACACAGTTCTTTGTTAAGAAAAATTTGGGATTTCTTGAGGTACATGATAGTGGGACCAGAGATACACAGATATAGACTGGCTATGTCTAGGCCACAGAAAAATGTTATTTAGCCCACACAATATTTTTAAAGCTTTGGGCTGGATAACAATCCTTTTGAAATCTGGAGATAGCATACCTTAAAATTAAGATTTCTGATTTTTCAAGGGAAAAAAAAATCTACATATCTTGCCGCACTGTGTCTACATTTCTACATGCAAATGAGGAGAGGCCATCTCTTCAGATGTTCCTTGCCCTCTGGCTCCTTCCTTACCATTCACACAAGGGATGTATATGGCCAAAACCCACTCTGCTGGATTCATGGGATCTATATATCTAGAACCAATGGCATGTGTGTTTGCTCTGTCTGCTCTGTGGTAAATTATTAATATGCATTCAGAAGCCATATAAAAGGACCTTGCCTGCCATCTGCATAAGCCTTCTTAATAAGGTGAATCTTTCCATTCTAAAAGTGACTAAAGCTAATTTATGTGTATAAAACACATACATTACTCCTCTGAATTATGTTCTTTTACTTTTAATAATAATCTACACCAATTCTGATTAATTAGAATCACCTAGCAGGTTGTTTAAACACGATTGCTGTTCCCCAATCCCTACCCCCCAGCATTTCTGATCCAGTAGTCTGAGATGGGAACCAAGAATTTCAATTCTAATAAGTTCCCTATAATGCTGATGCTGCTAGTTCAGAGTCCACACTGACAATAAATGTTGTTTACTGACCCAATAATTTTGATTTTAAAAATTTCCATGACAGGGGGCCTCCCCGGTGGCGCAGCGGTTGAGCGCTGGGTTGCGAAGCTACCCGCAGCCTCTGCAGTGCCGGTTCGATCCCCGGCTGCTCCCCAGCCACCGGAGGAGGGTCCCGCATGGCGCGCAGACCTCTCCTGCCGCCCGCTGCTCCCCTCAGCAGTGTACTTCGCTCCTTCTGCCTGCTCTGCTCCCCACTCTGGCTCTGGTGAATTCTCTCACCCTCCCGCGCTTCTGACTGTACCCAGTGCATGTATAAATAAATAAATAAATAAATAAATCTTTTAAAAAAAAAAAAAATTTCCATGACAGGGCCTCCCCGGTGGCGCAGCAGTTGAGCGCTGGGCTGCAAAGCTGCTGGTTTGATCCCTGGCCGCTGGCGAGGGTCCCACATGGCGCGCAGACCTTTCCTGCCGCACCCGCTGCTCCCCTCAGCAGTGTATTTCATCGGACTGCCTGTTCTGTTCCCCGCTCTGGTGAATTCTCTCACCCTCCCATGCTTCTGACTGTACCCAGTGCTTATATAAATAAATTAAAAAAAAAAATTTCCATGACAATTTTATAAACATTTCCTGAATATCTCTAGAGCAGCCACATTCAACAACTTCCTGCAATGGTGGCTATATTCTATAAAAAATGGTGTCCAAAATGATAGTTACTAGCTGCATAAGGCTACTGAACACATGTGACTGAATAATTTTTAACTATTTAATTCATTTAAATTTAAGTATGCACATATTGCTAACAGCTACCGTATTGAACAGCATAGCTCTAACGATCCTGGAAAAGTCAAAGAGTAAAGGGAATTAGAGAAAAAAACAACTTTCATATGTCTGCAAATGGTAAAACCCAAAATTATGCACATGAGGCCTAACTGACTGATTTTAATCAGTCCTTTCAGTATTCTCATTTGTATCCAGAAATAACCACACATATAAAAGGGAGGAAAAAAGGTTTGGTAACATCAGTAAAACTAAGGCGCCTCGGGCCTCCCTGGTGGTGCAAGGGGTTAAGCACAGCACTGTGAAGCTATCCACAGCCTCTGTACCACAAGTTCGATCCCCGCCGGCCAGGGAGCTACCTACATGGCGCAGCAGACATCTTCTGTTTCGCCCGCCGCTCCCCTCAGAAGTGTATTTCAGTCAATCATTTGTTCTGTTCCCCACTCTGTCTCTGGTGAATTCTCTCACCCCCTGCACCTCTGATCTGAACCCTGCACCTCTGTTCTTATATGCATAAATAAATAAATCTTAAAAAAAGGAAACAACCTCAGAAGTCTCAACCCATTTAGCAAGAAAAACAACAAATCATAGAGCTCATTCTCTTTTACCTTTCATTCTCCTGGGAATCACAGTCACCCAATCAGGTCCACTGGAGTTAATTGGCATTTTGATATTGACACCACTTTAAAAGGAATAAAAAAAGCACAAGCTGAGATTCAGAAACATTATTTTCCATTCTGTATCTTTATTTGCAAATAAAAATGGATATGATTTCACATTAAGATGAAATATTCTTATAAATATTAATCAACACAATTAATCACTAATAAACTAGGTCTCTTGTATCAGGCTATATGGGTATATAAAAGTAACAAGAATTAAATCTAACTTTTAATTGCTTAGCACTAAGAGTGCAAACTGGAAAATGACAAATTCTGGTTTGAATTACTCCCCATGGACTCAAAGAACGGCTCACACTGATGAGACTGTCTATTTTATCACTACCTAGTTTTCAAGTTGCAGTCTATGCAGTTTTAATTTACACATCTGATTCCTTAGCTCTTGCCTAGAACTGAACTGACTCCTACAGGGAACACTCTCCCCCAGCAAATTCTCTTGCTGTACTTGCTCATCTTTACTATGGCTCTGTGGTGTCTGTTTTCCTTACTAAAACATGTACTCACTGAAGACATGAATTAAGTCTCGTTCATCTTTGAGTTCAGCATTTAGCATATGCACCAATGATAAATGTTTCAAGTGTGGTAAGTGTGTTATATTATATATTGGAAAAAGTCCATGTTCGGAGGAGAGGCAAACTCGTGGGATACAGTGCCACAATGTCTGCAACCTACCTCAAATGATCCACAGGGGAAAATCATATACAGACACATGCATATAAATACATACACATACAGGGGAAGAGGCAAAAGTGTCAAAATATTAACAATGATGAAACTAGTTTACAGATGTATGAGGGTTCACTGTTATTTTTCTGGAAGTGTTTCTAAAGAAGTTTTTTCCATAGAAAGTTAGGGGGAAAAATTTAAGTTATGCTAAAATAAAAGTAAAACCTTTTATATACTAGGCTCACTCTTTCAAAAGGCCTTACCTTATATTATCGAGATTTTTTAAGTTAAACACTATTATTCTTTCCAAAACCAACACTTGCTTTTTCTTAACAGTAGGGAACCAAGGTTATATTAGAGTAATTGTCCACATTAATTTAGGGAAACGAAGACCAAAGCTCACCTTCTTAGGCCTTATAAGTCATCAAGGGAAAGAGGTAAAAATGGGTATCAGCTTAACATATTCTGGCCATGAGCTCAAAACAGTATACCCAAAGATCCCACAAAAGATAAATTTCAATCTTTTTATTTTCAGTTAGCATTGTGCAAAATTTTAGAATTTTAACAGAGTAAATGAAACAAAAAATAAAATCAATCATGACTGTCAAAATGTTTGATTTCCAAAAACATATATACACTTAAATACTGTTTATCCAACACAAACGTCCATGCAAGTAGAATTTTTTTTAATAATTCTACTTGAAAGTACCATCAGTCAGCCTCACCAAGGATATACTTAAAGAGCTGGAAAGGACAGAAATTATTTTATCCTTCAGCATCCACAGGTTTTTTGTTTTTTGTTGGGAAGATGGGGAAGATTTGGTGTTAAAAATACTTTAAATTTTTACATTAATTTACTTCTCCAACCTTCCTCCTACTTTTTCTCATCTCGGAATCTGAGTAAATTACAAACTATGCTTCCTCCACTTTGCTAGGCCACTAAGTGGACTGATAGCACAACTCTAAAAGGAAGCAACTGAGCAGTTTTCACACATAGGTAAAAAGTGCACAGAACTAAAATAATACGCTCACAGTCAAGTAGGGTCTGAGAATTGAACCCAGAATTAAAACCAAACCTAGTCTTTTTACAGTGAGCTATACAAAAAAGTAGGCAGTATTCTCAAGAACAGCACAGTAAATATATGGAATAGTACTCTCTGCTGGCCTTCTAAAAGCAGGGCACGAATCTATCAACTGTGCGCTTACATTATTCTCACCAAAGCTAATTCCAGGAGAAGTGAAAAATCAGAGGGAATACTTTAGGAGCTCCTATATACCACGTATCTTATGATAGGAACTTTTCTCCCACCAAATAAATGAGTGGACATAAAACATACTTTTTCAGGGGACCCAGATATACTCAACAAAAAAATTCATCAGGGACACTAAAAAATTTTTTCACAAACTAAAAATCTGTATTTTCTCATTCACTACCTCTTCTGAATTGTACCAAGTTCACAGGGATATAAGAAGTACACAAGCAAAACAATAAAGTTACCTAAACAGAAAAATGTCTAGGATAAGGACAATACAAAAAGCACTTAAATTTACTGCCTCGAACAAAGAACACATACCTCTGGAAGAAAGCATTCTCTGCAGCAGTCAGGAGACCCTTCAGGTATCCACCTTTAAAATGGTTAATTCTGCTGCTACAAGGGAGCTTCTTTGGTTTGAAACAGAACCAGGGTTCTCCAGTGTACAGATCTGTAAAGTTACACAGGGGCTGACTCCCAGGAAGACACACGTTGCACTCCGTGGTTTCAGAAATTCTTCCTGAACGAAAGAGACTCTTGAAATAGACCCTGTCTGGTTTTTCTTCCTGTAGGTGCTGAAGAACTCTGATCCCTTCACTGGGGTGGACTAGAGATATAGATACTTTAACTTTTCCTGGCCAGAGCAAAGTAAAAAAGACTTTGTAAAACCCATTTTGGTAATCTATCACTCTGCCCACAGCTCCTGCCTGTAGCTTAGGGGAGTGGATTCTGGCCTGCAGGTAGTCTCCACCATACTTCTTGGGCTTTCTTTGAAAATCCTGTACATGAACCAGCACTTCCAGCTGGCTTCCCACCTTAAAGAATGCTGCAGAGTTCAAAATGACAAAGTAGCTAGAAGAAGGGTCAGTGCTCTTCAAAAATGGGACAAGGCCCACATCAGGGACCTGCCACTGCAAGGCAGCCAGCAAGGAGTCCTCCTCCACACGCTCCTGGCTGGACAAGGTCTGGTGCTCATAGCCACAGTAAGGATTCCGGCTAATTCCTGTCACCCCGGAGGAAACAAACTGTCCACTACTGTCGATGAATGTGGCTGAAACAGTCTCATGGTCCAAGTACTAAAAAGAAAGACAAACAAGAGATATCACAGCTACAATAAAACTCCAACATTCAGCCACAGAAATCTCTATTTCAGCTTAAATTTTAAAAACCACTTAGGATGACACTGTTTCAAAAAACAAAGCTTGGTAGTTTTCAGGGCTATTACTGTAAGACAATGAGAACTAACAGGTGGATTAAAGTCACAGAGGAACCCCCACACTTTTATGAGTTTTACCTGAATGAGCTTGACCAGGTTCACATGGCATAAATATCAAAGAAAAATCTCGCATACATCCAAAAGGGGAAGACAAAAAAGGAACCATTTTGTAATACACCAAAACATTCTGTTCTGCCTAAAAAGGCTTGTCCTCAAGAGAAACTCTTTTACCATGGCCTAACATACTACTGTCTTATCAGAGCCTAACATATTAATGTCTTAGCATCCAACCTCAGAAAGGGACATGTCTGACTCCAGCACATCCTGCTCAACTTAAGGGATAGTGGGGAGGATTAAGAAGCACTTTTGAAGTTCACAGCTCAGGAGCACTGACTTAACTACAGGATTAAGACTTAATTACAGGACTGTAAAATTTTTTACCTCCCCCATAGCTTATTAAAAGTCACACCATACCACATAATATCTAGTTATCAACAAAAAATTGTAAGACATACTAAAAGGCAAAAAACAAAGTTTGAAAACACATAGCAAGCATCAGAACCAGACTCAGATATGGTAGGGATGTTGGAATAATCAGACCAAGAATTTTTTTAAAATATAGTTACTATTCTCAGTGGACAATAAGCAACAATAATGGGCAATGTAAGGAAAGAGATGGAAATTCCAAGGAAGTATTAAAAAGAAATGCCAGATGGAACACAGGATTTTTTTAGGGCAGGGAGAATATTCTGCATTATATTACAATAAGGATGTATGTCATTAGACATTTGTCCAAATCCATAGAATGTACAACATCAATACTAAGGAAAACAATGGTCTCTGAGTGATTATGATATGTCAATGTAAAGAATGTACCACACTGATGAGGCTATGCATATGTGGGGGCAGGGAGTGTATGAAAAGTCTCTGTAACATTCCTCTCAATTTTGTTTTCTATCTAAAACTTCTCTAAAAAAAATAAGCCTTTAAAAATCAAAAGAAATGTCAGAGATCAAAACACTGTGACAAAGTGAAGAATGCCTTTAATGGATTTATTACTAGACTAGACATAGTTGTAGAAAGAATCTCTGAGCTTGAGGATATGTCAATAGAAACTTCCAAAGCTAAAAAGAGAAAAAAGAATGAAAAAACAGGAACAGAATAGTCAAGCGCTGTAGGAAAACTATAAAGGTATGTGATGTACATAATGGGAATACCAAAAAGAAAAGGGAAAAAAGGAACAAAAGAAATACATGAAATAATAATGACTAAAAATTTTCCTAAATTAATGTCAGACACCAAACCACAGTTCTAGGAAGCTCAATGTTACCTCAATTTTTTTTTTTTTTAAAGTCATGCTTTAAAAAAATCCATTTGCTTTTTCATTTTTGCACAATATATGCATTTTCATCTTGGTTATAGTCCCCATACAATTCCCACCCCTCCTTGTTTTGATCCTACTCCCTCCTCCTCTCCCCGCCCCCATAGTATGTCTGTGGTTTATAGTTGCTTGTGGATTTTGACTTTTACTTTATTATAATAAGTCTTTTTCCTGGTCCCTTATTTAGGTTTTCTAAATTCCTGCTATGAGTGAGACCATCTGGTATTTTTCTTTTTCTTTCTGGCTTATTTTGCTGATAATAATAAAAAATAAATAAAATAAATTTTAAAAAATTAAAAAATAAAAAAATCTATTTGATCTTGATGCTTGAACATTCTTCATCAAGAGATTTAAAGAGTGTCACGTTCTAAAAATTTACAAATCATAATAATGTAAATCAGCATTTTTAAAGAATTATTCCATAAATATGCACATTAGCCTTAATTATAGCTAGAACAATAAATATAAATATTATCAAATCTGATAAAGCAAAAGTAATGTAGCTAATAGAAGCCAAATATAAAATAATTCAGGAATGCTTTTCATCCTCATTTACAGACACTCACTGTCTAATATGACTAGGGAAATAAAAGGCTTAATATATTACTTATATGTCATAAAGGTAATAACAACAGAAATGAAACTAATTTTACAAATTCTGGAAAAAGAGTGACAGAAAGTATGAGTTAGTAGAATATCTCATCTTTCATTATCTTAACAGTACCTATCATTAGCATTTACGTGTTTGAGAATACACTTTTAAAGACTTTACGTGAATTTTCATGCTCACTTTATAAACAAGGAAACTGGGTAAAAAATGGCTTAATAGGGCCTATCTGGTGGCACAAAAGGTTAAGACGCAGCACTATGAAGCTATCCGCAGCCACTATAGCACAGGTTGGATCCCTGACCAGGGAGGTGACCCAAATGGTGCAGCAGACCTCTCCTGACTCACTGGCTGTTGCCCTCAGCAGTGTAATTTCAGTTAATCCGACTATTCTGTTCCCCTCTCTGTCTCTGATGAATCCTCTCACCCCCGACAACTCTGGCCTGTACCCCAGTTCTTGTATGCATAAATAAATCTTAAAAAAAAAAAAAAAAAAAAGAGCTTAATAGGCAGGCCGCCCTGGTGGCACAGGGGTTAAGTCTCAGCACTATGAATCTATCAGCACCCACTGCAGAGGAGTTCGATCCCGGGCTGGCCAGGTACAACAGACCTCTCCTTTATCGCCCACTACTCCCCTCAGTATGCTTGTTTTTAATTATTTGGCTCATTAGTACTAATTATACATGCATCCTTTTATCTTGATTTGCTAGTTTACCTTGTATCTTAGGATGCTTGCACAAGAGACAGGGTAACCTGGATGGTCAAGGAAGTAGACCTAAAGTCAGATAGCTTTGGTTCAAATCTGGTTATCTTAGGCAAATTATGAATTATTAAGCCATTTTTTAAGAGTTATTTATTTATGCATACAAGATCTGGGGTGTAGACCAGAAGTGCGGGGGTGGGGATTCACCAGAGACAGAGCAGGGAGCAGAACAAGCAGTATATTCCTTAATATTACAGCCAGCTTGAATCGAGTTTCCATACTTGCAGCCAAAAGCCCTAATACACTAGTATTGCTTTTATTAATCAGAAATACATATGGGCCTCCCCTGGTGGCGCAGGTGGTTGAGCACCACATTGTGAAGCTGTCCGCAGCCTCTGCAGCACGGGTTCAATCCCCACCGGCCGGCGAGGTTCCCACATGGCGCAGCAGACCTCTCCTGTCTTGCCCACTGCTCCCCTCAGCAGTGTATTTTGTCAGTCTGCCTGTTCTGTTCCCCGCTCTGTCTCTGGTGAAATCCTCTCACCCTCCCGTGCAATTGGCCTGTACCGCGGTTCTTGTACAAATAAATAAATCCTAAAAAAAAAAAAATACATATATATGTTTAAATATCAATGTATAAGTTAAAAACAAGTAAGGAGAGGTCATGCTCAAAAAGGCCTTATCAGAGAAATACTAAATATTTCTCCCTACTCCCATTTTCTCTGGATATTGTTACACACACCCTCATATTATGTGATATTTTAAATTAAAATGGAGTCTGTACTTTGTAGAAAAATGCTAAGATACTCTAATCAAAAGAAGAGTATAATCAGGAGCCGAAGCATAGAATGGAAAAGGGATTAAGAGCTAGGAGACTGCCAGTATTCAGGGTCTTTCTCACTTCCTACGTCCTTCTTTCCATCCCAAGTTTCCTTATCAATGATCATCACAGTTTATTAAATATTGAACAGTTTAAAAGTCAAGACAACATTCTCATCCTGGACAAGATGACCTTTTCAGATAGGGAAGATGCTGCACCACACTCCACCAAAAGACGTATTTATTATTGTCAAAATTAGAATTGTCTCACACCATTCATCATTGCCAGCTCCCTTTTCCATTACCATTCAATTTTTCTTTTTTTTAAAGATTTATTTATTTATTTATACAAGCACTGGGTACAGTCAGAAGCACGGGAGGGTGAGAGAATTCACCAGAGCCAAAGAAGGGAACAGAACAGGCAGTCCGATGAAATACACTGCTGAGGGGAGCAGCGGGTGCGGCAGCAGAGATCTGTTGTGCCATGTGGGACCCTCGCCGGTGGCCAGGGATCGAACCGGCACTGTAGAGGCTGGGGGCAGCTTCGCAGTCCAGCGCTCAACCGCTGCACCACCAGGGGAGGCCTATTACTATTCAATTTTTATTTGTGCAGATAATTAGAGCTCTTAGATGACAGCCCAGAAATTTCCAAGAACTAAAATAGGACTAGCAGGGGAATTTTCTAGCATACTTTCCTGACTATAATAACATTAATGATGTGGGACTCTGGCCTACCTTCTTAAGTCCTCATCCTAGATGTACACAACTACCTTTTTTCCACTATTCTTACATTCAGGTTGTTGAATGTGGTGAAACAAAAACATACACTCACAAAATCAATGCACGAGAGTGGCACAAACACTTAAGGTATTTTTAATATGCACATAACCCTCCTGGCCTCCACTTTCCACCTGTCTATAGGCAAGAAATTCCTCAGAGTCCCACTCTCCAGCAGTAACTGTTATCTACACTGCCAACCATCATGGTATCTTACCCTCTTTGGTCATAAAGAGGAGTACAGCTTTTCCTACAAAATTAATAATGAGAACACTCACGATGAACTATGCCCCTCATTCCACGTAAGATTACAGGCTCAACTGTATTCTAAATCTTCCTTCCCTTGGTCTACTAATCCTTCTCCTCTTTAGATTCTCTATTATCTCTTTCCTCTGAAATTCAAATTCTTTGGACTTTCACTTCCAGTCAAGATAAGGTGACCTTTGGTTGTCCTTTACTTAAAGCCATGAGCGTGTTTCCATGCTGAGCAAAGAGAGGGAAAACATGGAGCATGGTGAAACACCTAAGTGGAGAAGATAGAACTAAGAGCCTTAAAAGAGTCAGGTGGTTAGAATCTACAGGACAGTGTAGCAGAAAGAGAGCTGCACAGAGAGTGCTTAGGAGATCTACAGGGGGGCCCACTCCAGTGTTCAACAGAGGACTAAGGACCATATGTGTTTGATGAAACAACTGGGGAAAGAACCACCTAAAAACATGAAAGAGAATGGTAACCTGAGCTCCCACCAGGCCAAGATGTTTGGGAGACACAAACATTCAGTCTACAGTAAAAGCCAATGAGCAAAGAAATACTGTAATTAAGTTAGACCTGTAACCTGCGAAGTACCATGAGCCAACAAAATAAAAAGGACAGCATCATTTTATATAGAAACTACTCCATAAATTTTTCAGATAATGGCAGAGGGAAGAAAAGGAAATTACTAACTACCTTCTTAGTGCCAGGCACTTGTAAGGAATTCAGTAAGACATGCTTCACGCCCCTGAATGCCATACAGCAGTCTTCAAAACAGATTCATCATCCCCTGCCGTTCCCCCGGCCCGAAATAATCCAGCTTTTTACCAGGAGAGGATCTTACCCTTATCATTCGAAAGCTCCTGTAGAGTCATCTGCTTTCCTTTCTTAAAGCACTTTTCAAATTTCTAATTACTTTTATTAATATTTTATATTCCATAATTATGATTACATATTTTTTTCTCCCATACACATTTAGAAAATGAGCTTCATTAGTTAAGAAATCATGTCTAGGGCCTCCCCGGTGGCGCAGCGGTTGAGCGCTGGGTTGCGAAGCTGCCGGCGACCTCTGCGGCGCCGGTTCGATCCCTGGCTGCTCCCTGGCCACCGGAGGAGGGTCCCACATGGCGTGCAGACCCCTCCTGCCACCCGCTGCTCCCCTCAGCAGTGTACTTTAGTCCTTCTGCCTGCTCTGCTCCCCACTCTGGCTCTGGTGAATTCTCTCACCCTCCCGCACTTCTGACTGTACCCAGTGCATGTATAAAACAAAACAAACAAACAAACAAACAAATAAATAAAAACATGCCTCTATAAATAAAAAAAAAAAAAATTTAAAAAAAAAAAGAAATCATGTCTATCTTGTTCATCACTGTACCGGTGGTAACTAGCATAGTAAATACTTACTAAAAAATAAAAACAAGAACCATGACCAGAATAAGTTTCCTAATGGTTAATACTTCCTAGGCTAGTCAGCTCCAAATCCCTAGGCTTGGTTCCCTTAGTTATGAAGGAGTATACTGAGTACTCACCTCTACCTGAGTAACATTGATGACCAGAACCACCACCATCAACACTGCAAGCAGACAGCAGAAAAGTCGTAGTTTGAAGAAATTGAACCACATTGTCTGGCTGTATCTTGATCACCCATGGCCGACACCATGCTACCTTCACTCCTCAAAACTCCATATCTTTGTTCTTCTGAGCTGCACACAAGCTGTTAGTTTAATTTGCTCCTTTCCTTAAGAGTTCTTCATACAGAAGAGATGATAGGGTTGATTTAAGAAGCACATTTTTTTCTTCAAAGGACACCTTCAAAAGGAAGGATACAAAAAACAGGTCACCGGGGCCTCCCTGGTGGCACAGGGGTTAAAGACAGCATGCAGGCCAGGAGCAGACAGAGCAGATCTCTCCTGTCTCCCCATTGCTCCACTCACCAGCGTACTTCAGTAGATCTGCCTGTTCTGCTCCCCACTCTGTCTCTGGCAAATCCTCTCACTCCCTGCACTCTGGCCTACACCCCAGTTCTTGCCTGCATAGGTAAATAAATCTTAAAAAAAAAAAAAAAAAAACCACTAAAAGCTTTAAAAAAAAAAAAAAAAAACCGGTCACCAATTGCTTTAGCCTAGGATGGACTTAAAGGAACGACACCTCTTCCTTATCCTGATGGAAGGCCCCAAGTCATAAGAAGAAGGCAAAGAGCCAGCGCACAGTACCATTCCCTGGGAAACAAGGACAGCCATTCTTCCCTATGACAGGAGACAGTAAGCAGCTTCTGAGCTCCTAGCTCCTCTACCACATATGTGGTCCTAATGCTCCTTCAACTGAGTAACAAGGCAAAGGAGAAAAAAATACCTACTCTGACGATGTAGGAGAAGAAAGTTAAGCTTGAGGGGTGACAGGACACCTAAATCCTCCATCACACCTGCTAGAGGCAGAGTTCATAGACTGCAGCAACTAACTGTGCTGCCATGTAATGAATTCAAAATGCTCTCCCTAGCTGCTATTTTTATATAGGTAAGCACGGAAGTACTAGGATTTTGTTCCAGCAAGGCTTTCCAAGGAGGGCAAGGATGAGAGGTAATGGCAGAAAGGGTACATCACCAAAGTAGCCAGGATCTCAGAAGACTTCAGCTGCATCAACAGTCCCCACAGCTTCATGTTGGAGCTGGCCAGCGCCACTCCCCCATCCTTACTCCTCTACTCCACCTGTCTGATCCATTCCAATACCTCAACGATCAAGACAAAGCTCCCTTCTCACCAGCGTCAAGGGGAGACAAGGCTAAGCTATTCCAACATGCTTTCATACATACTTACTATTCCCACAGCACTCAGTATTTTCACCTCTCAGCTGATCTCTTTATTTGTGTGTATTTCTTGTCTCTCTGACTAGAATATACCAACTATGACTATATACTTTTTAAAATACCAGAAAACTGTATGTTAAAGTATCTGAATAATAATGCATAGTATTGTTTTCCTATTCACTCATAGTACTAGAGCGTTACATGAAATACACTGATTCAAAAGTTCACACAATAAATAGTTATGAAGGTCTACGCTGTCCTACACACTTTACTAAATGTGAGACAGTTCCCCTGAAAAGGCTTAGATTTGTGTAAATAAGAGGTAGTTCTTCTCCTGAAAAAAAGAGGAAAAAATTCACCCATCCTAGCCATCTCCCCAGCCAGGGACTATGAAAGACTGCATTTCTTCCAAAATCTCCTCTCCAACAGCCAGACAACCATCCACCCAGAAAGTACCTAAAAATTCTGGAAAGGAAATGGCTGTGAAATAAAGGAAATAACCGAGGCCCCAACTGCTCCTTTATAGAAACCCTTCTCAAAAAGTTTACCATAATAATTATAGGTTTCGGGGCCTCCCCGGTGGCGCAGCGGTTGAGCGCTGGGTTGCGAAGCTGCCCGCAGCCTCTGCCGCGCCGGTTCGATCCCCGGCTGCTCCCCGGCCACCGGAGGAGGATCCCACACGGCACGCAGACCTCTCCTGCCGCCCACTGCTCCCCTCAGCAGTGTACTTCGGTCCTTCTGCCTGCTCTGCTCCCTGCTCTGGCTCTGGTGAATTCTCTCACCCTCCCGCGCTTCTGACTGTACCCAGTGCATGTATAAACGAAACAAACGAACAAACAAACAAATAAATAAATAAAACATGCCTCTATAAAAAAAAAAAAAAAAATTATAGGTTTCCCTGATGGCTAGACAGGGAGAAAACCAAAGGTGATCCTGCACAGGAATTCAGACACCAGCAGTTTAGAATAGGTCAGTGTAGTTCAGAGCCAGACAGCACACAGCAGTAGTCAGTGGTACAAAAGGATGACAACGGAAGCTGACCCCAGAGCTAAAAAAGTTACAGTGCTATATAAGCAGTAAAAAATATGCAAAAATTCCTTCAAGGCTAGGGATTTATAATGACAATCATCATGGAGGGTCATGCCAGGGAAACACATGACTATTCACAATGAACAAGTAAAGCAGAGATTGCTGCAATCCATTGGTACACCTCAGTAGATATAGCATGAAGCACATTAAAGAGATTTCTCTGAAAAGACAAAGACTAAAATGTCACCTTGGGACTGTTTTGTTTTTCTTTTATCTGTATGTTCTAATTTTTCACTAGGAAGTAATTAAAAGTAATTAAAGATAAGACATAAGGAGACAGAGGCCTTAAATAAGATACGGAAAATTCAAATTAAAATGAAAGATTTCAAAGTTAAAGAAGAAATCTTTAACAGGTTTCAGTCATTTTCTTACAAATATAAAGTTGAGGCACTATTACATGAAAGAAACTTGCAAAAAGAGCATAAAATATGGCATCTCAAATTGCCTTAGAACTTAGTGAAAACAATAGTACTACATGGGAATTACTCTAGAAATACATTACCTAGATCAACCAAAAAATAGAGCTGAAATGTAATTTACCTTTTTTGGGAAAAGTCCAGTGCCCAAGAAGAGATGCTTATCAGAAATAAGAAATAAGAGTTTTCATCTAACTTTCTGCCCAGGGTAAAGTCCTGAATTCAAGCAATCACCACAACAGCCCTTATTATTTTCTTGCCACATTCGAAGCATAAGTTGATGTTTTTTCATTTTTATACCATTCTTCGTGCTGTAAGAGAGATATGGTAAATGAAATAAAGGTTAATGATTACTGAAAATGAAATTAAGAAAACATTTGAAATTAAGAGTACAACTTTATATCAAAGAAATGGACATAGATTTCAGTACCAGATAGAAGGAGTGTAGATGTGAACATTTTTATCTACTAATAAAAAAAACAGTAAATGGCTATGAACATGGACTTAAATATGACAAATCACTCAGATTGGAGCTGAAGGTCAAAACTTTATAACTGAAAAAAATACAAGCCAAAGATAAAAAGCCTTGTTACTTTCTTAAAGACACAACTAATCATGTAGTTCAAGGGTCCATCCTACACTGTAGACAACAAGAGGTATACAGATCTTTACAGATCTATAAGTTATAGCTCTATGAAGACTCCAAATTTGAGCAGTCTTGTTTTCAAATCTTTATGAAGTGTCAGTCCACAACTTATTCATGCTCCATATTTACATTCAAAGAACAAGCAAAAAGTAAAATGGAACAGTCTTGTACTGCTTTGCCAGATTTTGATTAAGACTATTTACGAGCCAATCTAAATTCTTTATCACCTTCAGCCAACAACCCTAGACTGTCATTAGGTGCCTGACTTCCCATCCCCATCTTACGAAAGAATTACAAAATGATGGCTTTTAACACTTGGAATTACAATTGCACATTAACACAAATAAAATACCTTAATTCAGTTTAAAAAAAAAAAGAATGAGGCAGTAAACCCATCCTCTTGGGAGAAAATGTTCTCGGATAACCATTTCATAAAGACAATATATTAGAAGACAACCACACCTCTCCAGTTTCTGGAACTGTCCCCTGACTGCTCTCACCTGTTATCTACATAAATATAATTGCACTTGTCAGAGCAAGTGGCTGAAATTTTTATTAAGAATATATGGCCTTCCCCGGCTGCTCCCCGGCCACCAGAGGAGGGTCCCACATGGCGCGTAGACCTCTCCTGCCGCCCGCTGCTCCCCTCAGCAGTGTACTTCGGTCCTTCTGCCTGCTCTGCTCCCCGCTCTGGCTCTGGTGGATTCTCTCACCCTCCCGTGCTTCTGACTGTACCCAATGCATGTATAAACAAAAAACAAACAAACAAACAAATAAATAAAACATGCCTCTAAAAAAAAAAAAAGAATATATGGCCTGGGCCTCCCCTGGTGGCGCAGTGGTTGAGCGCTGGGCTGCGAAGCTGCCTGCAGCCTTTGCAGCACCAGTTCAATCCCCGGCCACCGGCGAGGGTCCCACATGGCGCACAGACCTCTCCTGCCGCCCGCTGCTCCCCTCAGCAGTGTATTTCGTCACTCTGCCTGTTCTTTTCCCTGCTCTGGCTCTGGTGAATTCTCTCAGTGTCCCGCACTTCTGACTGTACCCAGTGCTTGTATAAATAAATAAATAAATAAATAAATAAATAAATAAATAAATAGAATATATGGCCTGTATTCTGAATTTACATGGAATACACCCAAATGTAAATGTTTATATCTCAAACTTTTCAAAGTGCAACTGTATTTCATAGGATGTTGAAGAAGCTTTTGCATGTAAGGTAACAGAGCAGGGTCTAGAGAAAGAACTGGGAACACTAAGAACAGGGCATGACAATGATGGGTCCACCAAATAGGGTCAATCCTCCAACAAAGACGAAGCAAGGGCAGATGTCTGCAGGACTTTTTTCCCTAGATTCCATTTCTCTTTCATGTACCCATCTCACTTGCCCAAAGTGCTGACTCATCTAGGCCTCCCCTTAATCTTTCAAAGCAGTGAACCAAGCTATCATGGGGTGGGGGTGGGGGGGATAAGAACGGGAAAGGCTGAGAAGTAAACCAGTTTAAAAAAGTCACAGTGTTGCTAAAAAGGGGTGAGGTAGGGGTATGCTGCTAGGCCCATTGTGTTCAACCTCGCCTGCACATTAATACCAACTCCGACACTTTTAAAGCTATCAATGTCTAGATGAGACCAATTGAATCAGCATCTATGGGACTAGCGTCCAAGAAAAGGTACCCGGATGGTTATACAGGCAGGTTCTGGAGAACCGCCAGGACAGGGTGGCCAGCGGGTGTTATCTGCATCAGTTGACCAGAACTTCTGTAATCTATCCCTTTGTTTCCTTTCACAGTTACAAATAACAGTACTTTATCAAGCCCAGCCAGCCCATGAGATTAACAGACGAGGAGAAAAGATACCAAACACAGTGCAAGGAAAAAAGAAGCCAAGCATTAGGAAAGCACAGTGTGCTGCCGCCTCCACTGCAAGGAATCCAGTCAATTAATTATTAGGGTCTGGGAGTCCCGCCAGCTTCAAGCACCCACTGATGTTCCACACGATAATTAACCACAGTGAGGAGGGGACGCCTGTCAGAGAAGTATGATTCTTGTTCTTTATCCTTAGAAAATGTGGCCACAACCCTCCTTTAAATAATGAAAAGCAAGGGAAAATTTGCATACACACAAATTTCGTAGAAGAGACTCCCTCTGACCCCTGTCCTTGTGGTCTCTGATCAAAGCGGAGATGGGCGACCGCCAGGGTCTCCACAGCGCACCTCGTAAAGTCACTGTCGATTCTCCCCCTGCAGCCTTTATCTGAGGTCCCCGAACGGCAGCTCGGACGCACCGAGCAGCCGGCGAGGGGGAGCGCAGCCGAGAAGCGCCATCCAAGCGGCGACCGCACCGGAGGTGGGGGCCGAGGACGGAGGCGTCGCCGAGCGCCCCGCACCGGGACAGGGAAGGTGTTATGGGGACCGGGGTCTTCAGCGGGGGCCGGGAGGTCCCAGGTCCGCGGTGCAGCAAGTCGTGAAAACTGAGGAGGAAGACGTTGCTGCCGGTCCCGCGCCCTCCCCGCCCACACCGGTCCCGGCTGGGGAGACGCCGGCCTGCGGCCGCGGCAGCCGGGGGCTCCGGCCCTGCCTCCCCCCGGCGCGGAGCCTCCCCGCCGCGAGCCTCCGGGGGGCGCCTCCACGGCTCCCGGCCCGGGCTTCGGGGACTCGGGGCCCGGGCGTGTGAAGAAGGGGCTTCGCGGCCGGAGGACAGACGCATCAAGAGCCGGGCAGAGGGTCGCTCGGGCAGTGCCAGGGCAGAGCCCCCCGGCCAGCACTCACCTCCCGGCCCGGCACCCCGCGCCCCAGCCTGTCGCCACTGCCCGAGGCCGCCGGGCCCCGGCTTCCTGGCCCCGCTACGTCGCCTCACCCCCGACCCCAGGCGATGATTGGCCGGTCTCGGGGAGGGGCGGGCCGAGGGTGCTGACTGACAGCCGCCGGAGGAGGCGACGCGGAGTTGGCGCGGGTCGGGCTCGGCGCCGCCGGGACCCCGCGCGCCCTCCGTGGGGCCCCACAGCTGAAGCCCCGCGGCCGGCGGCCCTGGCCGCCCTTGGGACCTGGGGGACCCGGGTGCGCATCGCCTTTGGACGGCAGGGTTTCATCAGGGAGCATCCGTTTCAAGACAGCATCCTTTCTCTCTTGTCGGCGAAAGGAACCAACCCGGAGATGCCCCCCGTGGGGCCATCTTTCCTCTCAGTGGTGGAATTTATTGTTCCTGCACCAGAGATTTGCCGAACTGTCACGGAGACGGCTGGCCCTGGACTCTTGCTGGAAATGAGTCGACTTATTCTGTTCGCCCTTGGAGAAGCCTCATTCTAATTAATCACTCTCCCCTGTATGACGTAGGTTTTCTGGCAAAAATACTTGTATACTTTTTCTCTCTCCCTTCCCCTGCTCCCCCCATTCTAGGTTATTGTATTTTGGACATTCTCCTGCCCGGCAAAACGTCCGCAGTAGCTATGAGAAATTCAGGAACGGAGCTGAGTCCTTGGGAGACAGCAGCACTTGCTCAGGAAGACGGACTTGAAGCACAATGGGAATAAACCAGAATTATCTGAGCACAATCCAGACTTTAAAAGTAGACCCGCGCCAGCCTATTGTTTCAGAATTGAGTAGGAAGAATTACTATAAATTACAACTAACATTATTTTTACATTTACTGACCACAATGGTCTCTACGTGCTCATTCACATGTTTTCATAGCAGGACTACATGCATGGGTGACCAGCCCCAGGAATGGAATAAATAGGGTTACATAGGGCAATCTCTTCTGGAGTAACTACTATAATGTTTCTTCTTCTTCAAGGAAATTTAGCCTTCCTGGACCTTCTGTAGTCATAAAAGTTGGCTTCCATTGCTTCCCATATGATAGATAGAAACCCCCCCCCCCCATATGATAGATCTCTGCTCTGATTAAGTCCTGTCACTCAGTAGATAACTCCTCACCACCAGTCTTTCACAGTTTGTCTGTCTGGTAAGTGGCAAATACTTAAACAGGACATGCTGACTTCTAAGTCGTGGTTTTGGACTATGTCAGGGAGGCTTAATAGCCCCCACTCACATGAACACTCATAAACCTGACATTTGAGTGATCTTACATATATTTTACAGCCATTAGAGTCACAAACAAGAGTGGTTAGGGCAAACAAGGCATGCCCATCACTACTAGTTTTTAGGCCAAAAGTGCGGGGGTTGAGAAGATTCACCAGACAGAGTGGGGAGCAGAACAGACTGATCTATTGAAATACACTGCTGAGGGGAGAGTGGGCAAGACAGGAGAGGTCTGCTGTGCCGTGAGTCACCTCCCTGGCTGGGATCGAAGTTGTGCTCTATTGGCTACAAATAGCTTTATAGTAGAGACTTAACCCCTTGTGCCACCAGAGAGGCCCCAGCACCAGTAGTTTAAAAGACACAAATTGCTTGTCAAGAAGCTATTTAATGTGACATTTGTCTAAAGCACCCTTTGGTATCTCTGGTACCATTTGGGATCAGGGTGTCCAACCCTGACAGAGAATGCAACAGCTGTGGACCAAGCTTCTACCTCTACAATCTGGGAAACACTGATGGTGCTTTTCTCAACAAAATATACATCCATCCCAAACCTATTGTCAGGTCCATGCTTTGGAGTTAGCATAATCCTCTTTCTTCTTCAGGGGCCCTTGGAAGACTGAGAGGCAGATCTGAATCAACAGTAATTCAATTGAAGGAATTGCACAAGCAGCAACGAAAAATGCTGAAGATGCCAGGAAAAGATTCAACAAAGGGTGTTGATGGTGCTGATGGGGTCAGCTGTGGCACAGGAAATACTGCCAGTGATTGGGGAGTAAATATGGGTGCCATCTCAGGACTTAGTTTAATTTATTTAATTTAACCTCATCAGGGCCTCCCTGGTGGCGCAAGGGGTTAAACACCGCTCTATGAAGCAGTCCGCAGCCTCTGCAGTGATCCTGGCCAGCCAGGGAGCAACCCAATGGAATAGCAGACCTCTTCTGACTCACCCGCTGCTCCCCTCAGCAGTATACTTCGGTCAATCTGCCTGTTCTGTTTCCCACTCTGGCTCTGGTGAATCCTCTCACCCCTGGCATCTCTGGCCTGTACCCCAGCTCTTGTATGCATAAATAAATAAATCTTTTAAAAAAATAATTTAACCTCATCAGTATTTATGTTTAAAGTAATTGACTATAAAAAGGAACCATATATACCTGTTGTATTGGACTAGCATTGCATTTTTATGATCTCATTTAACCTTACTTTCCTCCTTAAAGGTCTTAACTTCAAATGTAGTCACAATAGGATATGTGAAATTTCCAATGTGTTAACATATGAATTATGGGGGATGCAATTCAGTCCATAATACCAACAGATCCTTATTGTGCCAAATGAGAAGGCTTCTTCTATACTTACTCACCTAACATTTTCAGTGCCTATTGCTGATCAGCATCTGACAGTATTTTTTTTTAATAAAGTTTCTTTTTCTTTTTCTTTTTCAAAGATTTGTTTATTTATTTATTTATTTATACAAGCACTGGATACAGTCAGAAGCTCAGGAGGGTGAGAAAATTCACCAGAGCCAGAGCGGGGAGCAGAGCAGGCAGAAGGACTGAAGTATACTGCTGAGGGGAGCAGCGGGCGGCAGGAGAGATCTGCGCGCCATGTGGGACCCTCCTCAGGTGGCTGGGGAGCAGCCGGGGATCGAACCGGCACTGCAGAGGTTGTGGGCAGCTTCGCAACCCACCGCTCAACCGCTGCGTCACCAGGGAGGCCCAGCATCTGACAGTATTATCTATATTTATCTACCCAGAAATTCATTGAGTATCCTGGAATGTAATCTGTACCAATAAAACCAAATTTGGATTCCTTTTATTTTCATAAAAGGCATTTATCCCTTTATATCATAAGTAGATTACATTACTATAAATTAACTTATATAATGACAATACTCCAGAACTTCCTTAGAATTCTACCAGCAGTTTGTTTTTAATTTCAATTGCCCATTAACGACAACTAATAACCACCATTACTATTAATCACTGTAACAGAAGAATCACTCAAAGTTACAAACTTTTTATTTAAAGTTAAATTTAAATACAAATTAAATAAGCACAATATAAAACACGAAGCTTTCATAAACCATAACCACTTTAAATTATTCACTATTTCTACAATAAAATTAAAGAGAAATCTAAAAATACCCCAATAATCAAATTATCTTTAAGCTCTTATGTCAACATTAAAATTATTACAAAACATTCAAAGAAATTTAATTAGTAAATTAAAGCAACTAGAGTGATTCCTGCTATCTACTAAAATCAATTATGGAATTAAAATTCAGTATGATTTATACTCATTCACAAATTAAAAGCACTTCATTTTAAAAAGACAATTATATCTATTTCTAGCAAAGGTTGTGAGGACTACTTGTTTACTTGACTTTTAAACCTAACATGGCACGATAGGTTTGATCAGTGAAAGCAGTATTAAAAATGTTTCCAATGTTCCTTTCTGCTTTACTTCATGAATGAGGGGGTTATACATATAAAAATTAAAACAATAAATATCCATATATATATATATATCTAAAACACTGAAGTCTCTTTCTTTTCATTTGTGAATGAGAAACTGACCAGACTCATATTTTCTCTTTTTACATGTCTTAGTTCTCCAAGATCAGGTTTTATATTTTATATTATTTTCAGAAATCCAATTCTAAGAATTTGCACCAAAAAAGTACCAAGGGAGATAGTGCGTCTTAAGCCCATATTGTTTATGAAAATAATGGAATTAGATTTAAATAGATAACAGGAAAGACACTATTATGGTGTTTGTACATTTAAAATAATCCAAATAAAACAAATGAAAGGAAAATTCATTTCCTACACTCAAGAGTGGTACCCAGATTATTCAAAAATAAAGTTATCTGCATATACACAACCATGTGACTAGATAAATGAAGATTTTCCTAAAACATGCATATTATGAGGCCTTTTATAGTTAAACTTACAAGACCCACTGTGCATGTATCAGCTGTCATAATTAGTTTTCTGCACATCTGGAGTTAAAACTTTAACATCTGTTGTTCTATAAAACTGAAGATGGAATTTAATCACACTCATCATTTCACTAGAAATTTTTATACACCTCAGCAATCTTATACTTTGTTATTAAACAAATGAACTCCAAGATGTAGTTATTTTTTAAATTTTTTTTATTTCTACTCTTACTCTTTAAAACAAATCATATTTCTTGGAAAATTTCATTCAGGGATCTGAATAACTTATTTTCTCCAATCAATTTTACCTCAAGGTATAGAATTCTAACTCTTAGAATTTTTTTCTCTTTGAAAGAGAATGGAAAATATGGAAACTTCCTTTCTGGCTCACTAAATGTAAAGATTAGTAAACAGTATGTAAAAAAAATTGAAATACAATAACTACAGTAACTAGCAATAAGATCAGATAAGTCATATAACTTCTTAGGACGTAAGACTTAGTTTCATCTTTAAGACAGAGATTAGAACAGACAATTTAAGTTTCCTTTCAATTCTCACATGTTATGATTCTGTGCATCTGCAGGAATAATTAATATACTAAATTTTCCATAAATCAAGCAAACTAATACGAACTTAAGTAGCACAGTTCAACCGAACCTTTCTGTTACAAAAATTGTGTTAAAGCTCAACTTCCCAAACTTTTATTAAACCCATTCATTTCCTCTTTAACCAGACCAATAAATAGTCCAGAGCTAAGACCAAGTATCGTAGTGACATAAATTATTTTTAAATTACATTGTAAACCTATTGAAATATATTAAGTCTATTCAAGTTTCCTATATTCTGGTTCACATTATTTTCATTCTAACTACATTCAAATAATCTGTACAGTTAAAGTAGGGGCTGTTTAGTATTTTTGCACTTCAAATCACTAATAAAAGTTATACAGAATGAAGAGCAGAACATTAGTTATTATCATATTCTGATTTTTAAGTAAAAGATGCTAAATATTCATTGGCTAGAAAAACAAAGCAAAAGCAAAAAGGGAACTCTAGTGACAAATGCTAATGTTCAAAATAATGTAGTTGTCTAAAGAAATGAACAAACAAAACAAAAAAGAAAACAAGCCCTTAGACTGACAACAAAATGATGTTTTACAAGAGGGGAAGGGGATGAGGGGTAGCTGGGAGGAATGGGTAGAGAGAGTCAACTGGATACTGGTGAATGGTACTAGAACTTTGGTGGTAGGTGTGGCTATCAAGGTAGAAGCTACAATTCTGAAATTTATATAGTATTGTAAACCAACAGTAGAGACAGCAACTTTAAATGAAATTCTTTTTAAATAATAACTTAGTTGTGTTTTGTCACTTTCAAAAACAAAAAAGAAAGAGGAAAGAGATATCAGCAGACACCTAGGTAGGTAATACTGAATCATGACACTTGGAGCTTTTATGAGAAATGAATGTACCAATTAGTAACATTTCCGTAGTAGTGCAGTACAAGTTATTCTTTCTTTGTGTAACTATGGGAAGCAAATGAGGCACTTAACCGTAACATAGAAAAATAAGGTATATTTAAGGAGAAATTCAAAATCATTCATAAAAGATAACTAGCATTGTTCAAAAAGTAAAAAATTCTGTCTGTATTTAACATGCATTCAATGTTACACGTGCTTCACTAGGGAAAATCCTTTTGAATGTAAGAGTGCTGTTTTGTTTATAAGAAACAGAAAATATTTCTCTCTAAGAGATTCTGGATTTCTGAAAATGAAATCCATGCCTTTTCAACCTGAGTGATAAAATTTATAAACCAAGAAAAATACATCCTACCCATATTGGAGAAATAGTTTTTGACGAACAATAGAGTATAACATGTGACCCCTGACTTTATTCTTGAAGGATCAGAAGTTTTTATTTTATATAACTTCAAGAGGAGAAGCTTGTGACTGTAACAAAATAATGAGTATATATTTAGCACCTAAATTTTGAAAACACTTAAGTATTGCCATAGTTTTAAACAGTAATATGTCCATAGACAGGGAAATCAGATATGTGTGTTTCAATGGCATTAGAATATTCTCAAAGATTAAAACACCAAGCTTGCAAAAATTATCCTTGATTTGCAAACGTACCCATCTATAACACTGAAACACAATATTATCATTTCTGCTTGAAGTTAGAGACACATAACACATTTGTTTCTTATAAACAAATAAAGTGAAGTTTATTTTCTTAACCACCATTACTGTCTTTCAAATGCGGCACTTTTTTCAGAGATTCAGACAGAAAATAGTCCTGTTTTTAAAAAGCCCCTCATAGCCTGCCACTAGTATTATTTTAAATGTACTTCACTATGAAGCAGAGGTCAAAAGTGAAATAAATGACAATTGACCTTCTACTAAAATACACGAGCAAATATACAGCAGAAACAAAGACGAACATCTATTAATTTCTGGCACATACTGGCACATAAATGTTTACTTGTAGGGTAAAAAATTACTAAACGAAAGGGAAAAAATATGCTTGTCATGTCATTACTCCAAGTGAATGGAGCCTGTCTCTGCTCTCTTCATAGCTAAGAAAAAATTCTTGAGTTGGCTCTTTAAATAAACTTGATTTTAATCTGGATGGAACACTGTTTCATAGGTTAGAGCTGATACATGATAGTAACTAAAGTTTTCCATGAGACAATTCAATTATTCCCACTGAAAAAGTCTATAATCTTACCTTTCCCTCTATTTTTGCTATAAGAAGGTTTTCCCTCAGTCTAAGGGAGGAAAAATGCTTAAAAATCATGTTTTTACTGCAAGGAAGCTGGCAAATTTTAATAGTTCACTCTTCCCTTACTTGCCACTTATATTCAATTTAACAAATTGTATTCCTTACTACAAAATTAATTTCCTCACAGAAGAATCAAAATCTAAGTACTTATATCTTTAAGGTAATTCTTCCATCTTCTTTAAGATATTCTAGCTTACTTCTGAAGGAAAATTACTTCAGAACAGCAACACTGTTTATGCAATCTGGTTGTTAAGAAAGAAAGTGCATCTAGCTTTCAGTATAAATATTTGATGCATTACTGCTAAGCAAAAGGTAATAAAATCAAAATAAAGATGCAGCTCTGTATCTGGTATACAGAAAATATCAGACAAGAATACAAATTCTATATAAACAGTAACAGAATTGGGAGGAATATTCCCCTTCAAAATGCAACTAAAATTATTAAGGAAAAATTAAGGGACTCCTGCTTCCCAAGCAACCAGTTACGCTACACAGTAATACCAACATGTAACACCTGAAATGTAGAATCACATTCAGACTGCTGCTCTTGATCGTCTGCATTTAATTCACAGTTCTCTGGTGTCTGGCTGATTTCAGCTTGCAAAGGAGAGAGGCCATGAGCATCATCTACAGAGGCATTATCAGACAAGGCATCTAACTTTTCAGGGGAATGAGCTATGCAAAGTTTATCTCCTGTTCCTTCATCGAAATTTGTCCTCTCATCAGCATCTTCTAGCTGTTGAACTGAAGTTAAATATTGTTCAAGCAGACTATTTTCCTGCTCATTGTTTGAGTTTTCCTTACTCCATTCATCATGCTCTTCACTAACATCCCCTAAATCTGACTCTTTGCCATATCTGACTGTGTCAATGGAATTCCCCATTATGGAACTTTCACTGCCTTCTGTAGAACTTTTTTCAAAATCCAAAGAATCCTGCAAACCATGAACTTGTTCTGTTAGGGAGGAATGAAAACCAGAGTCTGGAAATTCAGGTAAGGATTTCTCTTGAGGAGTTTCATCAGGAGCAATGAACCAATCAGAATTTTGATTAGAAGAGGGTTCCTGACTTTGGGTGAACAATGGAAGTTTAGATGGTTCCAGAGTACTTGATATAGGACTATCAGTATGCCAAGAACTGAGACGCTGATCCACCGCCTGCTGCCAAGCTTGTAAAGATCTTACCTATAAACCAAAGGATACAGTTTGGTTACAAAAGAAATCACGCCTATTTTACGATTGTCCAATAAGGGTTTTTTCCAACATTCATGACATTGGTAAAACTATAGTTAGAAATGACCTGACTCCCTTTAGCATTCCCAGGCTCAACCAGGCTGGCCCATGTAATATATGTCCTTGGTAACAAAATGACCGCACAAGGAGCATAGGAATGGGGTAAAACAATCCACTTGCTTCTATAAAAAAAACAATGAAAAGTACAATAAAGCTCCAGCTTAATACCATACTGAGACCTACAGAATAAGAGATTAGAACTTAGCAATATTAATTGGATTCTCTAAAATGTCTCCTTTTAGATATTTATTTGGGAGAAGAGTTTTTAAATATTATCTAACAACACAGTATACAAAACTCAAAATATCCTAAGTTCTAGATAATAAGAACTTTATATTTTCAAAATATAAAATCTCTAATTTTTACTGTAATATCTGCAACAAGAAATCAATATAGAGAATTTTTTTAGTTTCCCTTTGACCACCCTCCAAGTTAATCACTGATAGTTATCTAATATGTATATCATCTTAGACCTTTCATTATGTATTTTCAAAGACACAGGGACTGCTAAAAAACCAAGCATGTCTGGATAGCTTTTACCATGAAGTGCAACCCTAATTTTAGCAATGTTTTGTTGTTTTTTTTTTAAACCACTCATCTTTATTGATAAAATAGGCTCCTATGCAGTTTGAATTATCTGACACAAATTTAATGTTCTACTAAAAAAAAAAAAAGAATGGAATAAAAAACTGTAATATAACAGTCTTTAAACACCAAGTTCTTAAAATTATATCAGAACAAGAAGACCAAGAATTATTTGTTTATGAAAATAATTATTTATCAAGTAATGTTCAATAATAAAGCTGCCTAAATGACCTGCCTCACATTTAATCTCAACTGTGTAAGTTATTTTCTTTAATTCTGACTTGGGATACAAATTACGTGAATGAATGTGCCATCAAACTAAGGGAAACTTTCCCAAAAACCAAAGCTGCGATATAAGAAAAGTTTAAAAATAAGTTGGTCATTTATTTATAAAATATCAACTAAGGCCTCCAAATTAGAAATCTATTTCATGTTTGTGCCTTTCATTTAGTCTCATCAACCCTAATTACTTTAGAAAAATTCTGAAGTGAAAAGCAGTTTTGAATTTCACAATATTCAAGTACACATTAAAATTACAAAATAATGTAACAGTTATTTAACAAATTATATACTCAATTTTCTGTTGTGATAAATTTTTATATATATCTAAAATAAATTAATAGACACTATACCTAGGGCCTCCCCGGTGGGGCAGTAGGTTGACCACTGTGCTATGAAGCTGTCTGCAGCCTCTGCAGCTCAAGTTTGATCCCCGGCCGGCCAGGGAGATACCCACGTGGTGCGGCAGACCCCTCTTGACTCGCTGCTGTTCCCCACAGCAGTGTCTTCGGCCCGTCTGCCTGTTCTGCTCCCAGCTCTGTCTCTGGTGAATTCTCTCACCATCCCGTGCCTCTGGCCTGTACCCCACTTCTTGTATAAATAAATGAATGTTTAAAAAAAAATAGACACTATACCTAATATAGAAAACAAAACAAAGGGTAGCCTGAGACAGCATTTCTGCTCGTTCATTCCTTGGTTAGGACAGTCCCAGTGACATTCAGAGCCTGTAGGATGCTCTCCAACTCTTCCTGACTCAGATCACTACTGATCACTAATGCTGATAAAGACATAGTTTCCCTCAAATCATCTTTCCTAAGATTCAAAAATGATTCTCAAGTTATTTGAAGGAGGTCTTTCAAGCCTTTGTTTTCTTGCTCAAGTTGAAATATGCAGCCCTGCTGCTTGTCAATTTCAATGGCTTTCCTAAACACTACTGCCATTTCACTTATCTGGTCTACATGTGTTTGCAGTTCCTTGGAGTGCTCCCCTTCTATCTTCAATAGACAGAAGAGCATCTTTTTTGCTAGCCATTAACAATCAAAATAATTTGCTCATTTTTTTTTATAGAGGCATGTTTTATCTATTTATTTATTTGTTTGTTTGTTTGTTTTGTTTATACATGCACTGAGTACAGTCAGAAGCGCGGGAGGGTGAGAGAATTCACCAGAGCCAGAGCGGGGAGCAGAGCAGGCAGAAGGACCGAAGTACACTGCTGAGGGGAGCAGCGGGTGGTAGGAGAGGTCTGCGCGCCATGTGGGACCCTCCTCCGGTGGCCGGGGAGCAGCCAGGGATCGAACCGGCGCCACAGAGGCTGCAGGCAGCTTTGCAACCCAGCGCTCAACCGCTGCGCCATCGGGGAGGCCCAATTTGCTCATTATTAAAAATAAAGTTCTAAGTCAGAACTTAAAAATAATAATAATAATAATTTGCTCATTATTAGTTCCAAGGCAGATTGGTGTTCTAGGCATGTATGTAATTCTTTGTTCCACTGTTGTAGTTCTGATTTGTCTATTTTGTTGCTGGAGTCCCATAACTAATGTGGAGCGTGGTCAATGTCTTATAACTTCATTAAGTTCTTGAATTTCTTTCTGATACTACTCATGGATTCTACCTGCTTGTGGTAAGCTATGGTTTGTTCGATCAGACTGCTGCCTGGTCGTTATCTGTCAATATTTCCACAAGAGTTCTGATGTCAGCAAGTATATTCTCAATTGTGCAACTCATATCTAAAGGAAAACTGTGGCCTTCATACCTCAGTCATCACTCATCGCTACCCAAGGGAAGAGCCTCCTTCAGTGGGCAGGTGCAGAAGCTAGCAGCAGAGCAGCGGCAGCAGCAGCAGAGGTGCAGCTGGGGAATCAGAAATGCCTAACCCCATTCAGGCCCAAGAGGATACCGCCTCTCCCACCTTAGACAGGTGCTCCCAATTTTTTTTTTTTTAAAGATTCATTTACTTATTTATTTATTTATACATGCACTGGGTACAGCCAGAAGCGCGGGAGGGTGAGAGAATTCACCAGAGCCAGAGTGGGGAGCAGAGCAGGCAGACGGACCGAAGTACATTGCTGAGGGGAGCAGCGGGCGGCAGGAGAGGTCTGCGCGCCATGCGGGATCCTCCTCCGGTGGCCAGGGAGCAGCCGGGGATCAAACCGGCGCTGCAGAGGCCGCGGGCAGCCTCGCAACCCAGCGCTCAACCGCTGCGCCACCGGGGAGGCCCCCAATTTTTTTTAATAGTGGCATTTTGAGATCTCTCCATGTCAGTTCATACTATTAAAAGATTTCTGTTTTAAAAAATCTATTATGTCACATTATTTTGTAAAAATATTTCCAAGGAAAAGAGAAGAACACTTTATCAGTGCAATTTCTAATCTATCAAGATTTAGTTCTCCTGCCCGTCTGTGGCTATGCAGCTGTCTCTTTTCACCAACCTTGTCCTTTTGCAAAGCAGTAGAAACGGTCTCCTCCCAACACTACCAGCCTGTGTGTGTGCAGGTGTCTCTTTTATCAAATCTATCCCTTTCAGTGGTAGTTCTTTCTGCCTACTTACATCTTTGCAAGCATCTTTTATTTACTCTCCCTTTTTATAATAAACCTGCCCTTTGGATAGATATATCTGGAAATACATGTTCATAATTCTTTCATGTCAAAATAAAAAAATCTTTTTCTTCAGGTTAATATAACAAAATTCACTGTCCGGGGCCTCCCCAGTGGTGCAGCGGTTGAGCACTGGGTTGTGAAGCTGCCCACAGCCTCTGCAGCGCCGGTTCGATCCCCGGCTGCTTCCCGGCCATCAGAGGAGGGTGCCACATGGTGCGCAGACCTCTCCAGCCACCCGCTGTTCCCCTCAGCAGTGTACTTCGGTCCTTCTGCCTGCTCTGCTTCCCGCTCTGGCTCTGGTGAATTCTCTCACCCTCCCGCGCTTCTGACTGTACCCAGTGCTTATACAAATAAATAAATAAATCTTTAAAAAAAAAAAAAAGTCAAAGTCATCATTAAAAAAAAAAAAAAAAAATCACTGTCCGAATGCAGTGAGACGCAATCAACAAAAATCACATCCTTAACCTTGAGAAAGAGTACTTAATATGCCTAACTTTATCTCAATAAATCTAAGTAGCAGGAGGGGTTTACCTGGTTCCAGAGGAATTTGACAGCCTCTTCTTGTACAAGCTTTTTAATCCGTTCTTCATCTCTTTCTTTTTTTAACCTATAATAATTCAAAATCCATTACTGAGACAAAGGCAGGGTGCTTTGATTTGCACTTCTTGTTACAACTAATAAATATAGGGCCTCGCTGTGAAGCTGTCCGCAGCCTCTGCAGTGCGGGTTCGATTCCCAGCCAGCCAGAGAGACACCCACATGGTGCGGCAGACCTCTCCTATCTTGCCCGTTGCTCCCCTCAGCAATGTTTTCAGTCCGTCTGCCTGTTCTGCTTCCCGCTCTGTCTCTGGTGAACCCTCTCACCCTCCCACACCTCTGGCCTGTACCCCAGCTCTTATAAAAATAAATAAATCTTAAAAAAAAAAAAAATACATGCTTTTCAACTTTTAGAATGTCTAGGATGAAACTTTGACTCAACATTGAAGCTAAACAAAATATGACTGAAATTCAGATTATACTGGTTCTACAAAGTATTTCCAGTGACTCTCTGGCCTCAATTTCCTAACCAAATACACCAAAGGGGCAGCGACAGAAAGATGTGGTTACTCAGTCTCTCCAGAAACAGTTAAGGACTAGGATCACAGCTTAAAACACCCTCTTCTAAGAGACTAATGGAACTAATCCCATCAAACTTCACTCCTGGTTGGCATGGTCCCTGGCAAAACTTTTGCTATCATCAACACCTCCTCATCCTGTTTCCCCTTATTGATTAAAGTTTTACTCTGGGCTCACTGATGCCCTTTTCATACATACATGAATAACAAATCTAAAGTTCCTGAATTGTTCAGGAAAGTTCCTGAATTTCTCCTCAGCTGTCACCACCATTATGTTCTGAACTTCTGAGTTAAGTCTCCCTCCAATTTGTCCAGCTACCAAGCCCTTCTCCTGTGTCATCTGGGAACTGGAATAAGCAAACTCCTACATATACCCCCAAATGTACCGTTATGAATATTTCCTCCCAAATATCTTCTGCTCCCTTGCCCTTCTTTCTCTCCTTCTACCATATATACCTGGAAACAAACCATTCCTAGCTGAACCAATTTAACCATGACTGAATCAGAACAGACAGTTGAAAAATGATGACAACAATCACACAACTTGACCTGTCATTTTGCACTTTATGCTTTTCTTCACACTGGTCAGCCATCCTCCATCCCCTTTATAAGTTTACTTTTCAGATGAATACCTGAGACCTTTCTCCCTAAACTTCCTGTGTCTTCTCCTCGTTTTCAAGTGTTGATCGTGTCTTATACATTATTGAATAAGGAGGAGCATCCATTAGTCAGAACTTCCCCATCCCCACCATCAAAACAACAACCTTATAGGCCACTGCTTCTACCTCAGGCCACTAGCTCTATGTGTGTACTGCCTCCCTTCTCTCATCTTCTCAAGGACTTCAATTCTGTATTTCTTTCTTTCTCTGCACCATCAGTTATTTCCTCTTTATTGAACCATTTCCATCAACACATAAACATATCTATAGTTTCCATTACAAAATCTTCCTAATTCCAGATTCTCCTCCAGCAACTACTCCCTTCTCTTCCTCATAGCAATGCTTACCAAGAATGCTGGCTGCACTTACTCTTCACCTTTCATTCATTATATAACCCATTTCAAGCTATCTTCATCTTACTAAACAATTGAAGCTACTCTTAGGAAACTTGTTGGGCAGTAAAGCCTTAACTCAGCAGGACTGGGTTACTCCAAAGTTAGGACTGGCGTTGACTAACTCTTAAGAAATAACCTTCAAATACTTGAAATATCACACCTGAAAAAGAGTATTTTGTATCATTGGGGCCTTGGGCCATACCAGAGAGTTATGCTAATGATGTGTTTTCTGGTGAATACCTATTTTGTTAAATGGAGCCCTGGGTCACAAAGCATCAGTATGACCGCAGTAGGAGCTAAGGTCTGAAAAGTTAAGGTCAGTCACACAGCAATTCAAGGACTACATTACTGACCACCCAATAAAACCCTGTCAAGGATTAAGTGAGCTTCCCTGGTTAGTAATATAGCAGGTCCTCAAATAACATTAACATATAATGATAATGTTGATGAGAAAAAAGCAATCCCAACCAAATTCGAAGTAAGGAGGACCTGCTTTACTATACATTCATCAGACTGTTTCATTTAAAGTCACAGTTTCCAAGAACGTACAGGTAACATTAAGTGAGGCCTTCATATAATACTTCATATGTGTTGGCACATAGGACGTAGGAAAATCAAACCCTGTCTATACAACTTCCTAGGAGAGGACAAACAGAAGCTTGTGCCTGGTCTCTCCTGGATTTGACCACCCCCAAACCAATTAAACAGCAACTAAACAAGACTTCTGACCCACCTTCTTATTTCATCAGTCAGGCAGACGATGTGTTCTTGCATTCTATGCAGACGGATTTCATAACGCACATCTTTGGCTTGAGTGTTGTAGTTCCTGGCATAAAAGCCCCGCCAACAGGCCTGAAGCTTGGTGGCAGCTTCATTCAATTCCTGCAGGGCAACTTTATCTTTTCCCAGAGCAACAGATCTCTGGGTTAAAGCCCTGCAGGGAAGTTTCTCTGAAGCTGTTTGAAACACAGTTTCTTCACTGTCTACCTGTGTACAGAAGACATTGTGTCCAATTGACTCAGGAAAAGATGCAAGATTTTGGGTGTCATCTTTCAAGATAGCACTGCTGACTGTTGGGTCAGGACATGGTAACAGTTTCTCTTTTTCATCTACCTCAGTAGTGACTGCATTTTTCATCATTTGAACAGAATTCTCATTTGCAGCCCAGAAAGGCTTTTCCTCTTTCTTATCCATGTCCTGGTTTCGCAACGCTTTCAGAGATTCATCTACAATGCCATCATCTTCTAGACACAAGTTAATACCTTGTAACCTCAGCTCGACTGTAGGTGAAACTGGAGAGAGTCCTGATGCAACTGGCATAAAAGTAGACTCTGAAGAAAGAAGACTGCAGTTCAACTTGTCCTCATCTGTCTGAATATCTTCCAAGTGCAGGTCATTGCGAGAATATCTTGTAGTGTGCACAGAGGCTGGAAAGTTATTCTTAACAGCATATAACTGATCATCACTACTGCTTATCCCAACCCAAGAATTGACTTGAATGACAGGTTCTAGAAAATCAACAGAGTGTCATTTAAACCACTAAGTACATAACAGTTTGTTTTTATTTAATATCAGGCTTATTGAGGCATAATTTATATATAATATTTAAGGTATTTAAAGTATAAATTGTGGTGATTTCATATAAATATATATTGTGAAAGGAGTCCCCTATCCAGTCTATTAATACACTCATAACCTCATATATTTACCTTTTTTTTCTTGGGAGTAAAGAAGTATTTTTTAAATTACATCTTTTTAATGAAAGCTAATCCCTGAACTATAATAAAATGACTACAGTAATTTTCTTCAACATGACTAAAACATCAAACCAAATATCTTTAAGAAAATGAATTCTTACAATGTCATTAGAATAATCAAAATATCAGGTCAATATAAAAAAGAGTAGTCCTCTGAATGTTTTTTAAAAATAGAAACAGTAATATACCCATAAACACACATACACACACGTAAACATACATATTTATAGTATATATATGTATATACATATATGTAACAAGACTCAAATGATTACTTAATAAAAATTATTAAAATATGCTCTTTTCTTCTGTTTTAGGATACTTAACAGATGAAATGACTTGGAGAAAAAGGGTCAGAGATCAATTAATTTCATACCATTTTCCTGGACTATCTGGCAATCTTGAACAGGGCTTGAATGCTCGGATACAAGGGATGCCCTTGTTTCAGTAGGAACAAGGGAAGACAACTCTTCATTTTGGCTTTGGTTCATTAACTGCCTCTGGTGAAACCTAAAAATCAGTAACAACTAATGTGATTTAACACAAACCAAAAAAAAACAAACAAGGTTTAACACTGTCAAAAAGTTAGAAATTTACATGTTTTCAAAGTAGATGACGAAATTACAAAGGCTCATTTGAAACCACTGGATAGAAAAGGAGAAAAAGCTTACTTTTAAACTGCAGAGACAGATACCCTCACATGCATACACATGTACAAACATTCAAAAAGAAGGTCAAAAAAAAAAAAAAAGGTCTCTGATAAAAGAAATGACAACTAAATGCTTCTGGCCATATTCCCTAATATTAATATTTTAAAACTCATATGAAACACTTACATTAGAAGGACAAATACATTTTTAAAAAATCCTACTTCCCCAAACAGCTTGACTCTCCACCTCAAAACATGCTTAGCAGAGCAGCTTCTGTGAAGCAAGCTGACCTGCACTTTGTGACTCAGCTCCCCTGCAGGACTGCTGCAGTAACAAGGGGCCCAACGGCCCAGAATTGTGGGTTACAAGTACTAACCCACAACAAAGACAGGCATTTTCATTTGTGATTTTATCAGCTGCTACACATAAATGAGCTTACCTTTGCTTGCTCAGAATCTTCTCCAGTTTGGCATCCTCTGCAGTTTGAAGACCCAGTGTAGAAGTGAGAGGACAGACTGTAGCCAGATACTGGACAAGCTGGACATGCTGTCCAGGGCGATATGCTCTCCCCTTACCTTGACTATAGAGCCATTCAGCTTTCAAGCTGGAATTGGGGGGACACAAAGAAAAGAAAATGACACTAGGGTAGAGAAGCTACACTTTTGAGCAACAGTGATCTTCCTTCTTACTTTACCTTTATAACAGCACTGGATATTTTTCATAAATAAAATTCACTCAGATTTCTAAAACTTTATCCTTGATTCACTCCCCTTATTCAAATAATATTTTAAGTCTTTTCTTTTCTGCTTAGGAGCACACATTTTCATAGAACTGCACTAATGGTTCCAAATATTTTAAAATTATTTTCAAAGAAGCAGTATTTCCTCCATTCTGTCAATTTCGATTCATTCTGAAATTTCCAAATACATCAATTGTGTTTAAATCCATTTGTTTATAATGATAACTTGAAAAAAAGTTAGTTACAGATGGAGGATACTAGTGAATGATAATCTTAATTCATTATTTTAAAAAAGCTGCTAAGTAAAGGATAAGAACTAAATATAATTAATTAGGTCTTTCCTATGCAAACTATACCAATCGGTAACCAAATAGTTCATTAAAAAAAAAAAAGGATTCTAGCAATAAAAACTGAATGACAGAATTAATATTTCATTCTACAATTCTCAATGACATAACAGATTTAAGCATTGATCATTAATGGCTACTAATGACACAAAAGACACCCAGCTATTTTATGCCTCTCAACTGAACCTACAAAGCAGCTGCCTTCCCAAAAGTCTGCATCTTGACCAAACCTTCACATCCAGCTACTAACTTACAGGAAATACGAAAGAGACAGTAGCATGTCAAAGGACAATGGAATGTAACCAGCAAAATAAACACAGTGGTAAAATGAATAGAATGAATCACTTGATTTCTTCAAAAGCCAAAAAAAGAGAAAAAAAAAAAAGCAAAGAAAATACAAAAGAGGAGGCTCTTACAGACTAGGTGATCTAAGAGTGTCATCTTAGACACCTAGCCAAATGGAGCCTTCAAAGGACTCCAGCCCCATCTGTAATCCAGCTGCAAGCACATGAGACTCTGAGTAAGAACCACCCAATCAGCACCAGAAACCCAGGGAGTAATAATAACAAACTGATGTTGCAAGACAATAAAAAAGAACAAGAAGGAAATATAAGAGATACATTTACCAATTGCAGTATAGCATGGAACTAATATCTGGTGTTAAGGAATTGTTATTTTTTTTGAGATGTATAATATTATTGCAGTTATTTCTTTAAGAGTCTTTATCGTTTAGGATATATGCTGAAATATTCATTGATTAAATGGTAGGTAAGCTGAGCTTTGCTTCAAAATAATATAGAAGAAAGGGGAGTAAAGATACAGATGAACAAGGTTAGTCATGGATTGATAATCACTGAAGTTGAATGATGGATTGACAGGCATTCTTTATACTAATATTCTGCTTACTTTAGCACCAACTATAAGACTTATCCCATGCAGTATACACTGTCCGTAATCCTCACAGCACCCTTGAAAACTAGGAAGTATTAGCCGCATTTTATAGAAGAGAAAACTAAGGCTCACAGAGGCTAAGTAACTTGACAAGGCCACAGATAATGTGAGGCAGGGGAAAAGCTTAAGCTTTTTTTTTTGTTTCTCCTGAACAAGTCTTCTCTCTCTTCCATGTCTTTTTTTTTTTTTTAAGATTTATTTATTTATGCATACAAGAGCTGGGCTACAGGCCAGAGATGTGGGGGGTGAGAGGATTTACCAGAGACAGAGTGGGGAACAGAACAGACGGTTTGACCGAAGTACACTGCTGAGGGGAGCAGCGGGCGAGACAGGAGAGGTCTGCTTTGCCATGTGAGTTGCTCCCTGGCCAGCCAAGGATCAAACTCATGCCACAGAGGCTGCGGATTGCATCATAGTGAGGTGCTTAACCCCTTGCACCACCAGGGAGGCCCTCTTCCATATATCTCTTTACATTAAATCTTATCTCTGCCTATCTGACCATTTGTGCCTTCCAAAGATGAAAATTGTAGATCTTTAGAAAGAATAGAAAATCCTAAATAACCAACACACAATCTTCTGTATGACTGCACTAATGATCTTAATCTCAAAATGCACATTTTAAGAGAGTTGGTTTATTAATAACCTATAAGCTAGAAGTGATCTTCTCAGTAACTTCCATGATAGCTGTGATGTTAAAGAGATCTTATTCACCTTTCCTTTTGAGAAATCACATATCCATCCAGAACTCTGAGGTTTAAGCACCAGCTGACGATGTACGGCCGATAGTCAAACCCTGGAATGGAAGGCGTTGCCATCACACAAGGATTGTTCATGATTGACAATTGTTCCAATTCAGTTAAGGATGCCAAAAAAGATATCTGAAACAAAGGACATCTTTGTTGAATGAAATAGACTATTCAGTGTCAAGCACAGGTCTTCCACTGATTACACATCTTTGGTAGTTAAAAATATAACAATTTCTCTCTTGTTCTGGGACACAGTAAGTAACACTCACATTATCCATCGACTTCCAAAATTCCAACAATATGGCCATCTGTCCTTGCTGCACTAAGCCCCTTAGGAAGTTTCAGCACTATTTCTTAGCAGAGAAGTATATTTTGAAAACCTAACAGCAGCCAGGGAAAGAGAAATTGTGTGCTTTATTAACCCTTTTTATTCTAAAGTCCTTGAATATATATGGCAACACTCATTAAAAAAAAATTAAGAAACAAGTATGTAAGATGATGATGGGTGTTATGGAGAAAGAAAGCAGAGGAGGAGGATAGAAGGTGTCAGGTAAGGCCAGGATGGTTCAGGCTTACTTTATATTTTTTTAAGGTTTATTTTTAGGGGCCTCCCTGGTGGTGCAAGGGGTTAAGCACCACACTATGAAGCAATCCACAGCCTCTGCAGCATGAGTTCGATCCCAACCAGCCAGGGAGCAAGCCACATGGCATAGCAGACCCCTCCTGTCTCACCTGCTGCTCCCCTCAGCAGTATATTTCAGTCAGTCTACCTATTCTGTTCCCCACTCTGTCTCCGGTGAAGCCTCTCACCCCCTGCATCTCTGGCCTGTACCCCAGCTCTTGTATGCATAAATAAATAAATCTTTAAAAAAAAAAGATTTATTTTTATTTATTTATGCAATAACTGGGATGAATGTCAGAGGTAAGGGGGGTAAGAGGATTCACCAGAGACAGAGTGGGAAGCAGAACAGGTGGATCTACTAAAATACACTGCTGAGGGGAGCAGCAGGCGAGACAGGACAGGTCTGCTGAGCCATCTGAGTTAGCTCCTTGGCAGGGGATCGAACTCACACTGTAGTGGCTGGTGACAGCATGATAGTGCTGAGACTTTAACCTGTGCCACCAGGGAAGCCCATGTTTCAGTCTTACTTTTAAATACAATAGAAAGGAAGGCCCCATGGACAAAGTCACACTGAATAAAAACTTGCAGGAACGAAGGAGAGAACCAAGTAGAGATGTAGGATAGAGGAAGCAATTAAGGTCCAGAATACAGTGTATTTTAAAAAAGAAAAATTAATCCCTTTAATGTAGCTGTCCCTCTATAACTAATCCCTTCCCAGTGGATTGGCAACTGCAGCAATACGAAGAAAATTAAGCCTTAATGACCCACTGACATTAGGAAAAAGTGTAAAGAAAAATGATCTTCTAGAACCAAGTGTTTCATTTTGCTGGCAGTTTCTTCTGAGATGCTCACAGTATAAAAGTGAGTTCAGGGCCTCCCCGGTGGCACAATGGTTGAGCGCTGGGTTGTGAAGCTGCCCGCAGCCTCTGCAGCGCCGGTTCGATCCGCGGCTGCTCTCCGGCCACCAGAGGAGGGCCCCACATGGCGCGCAGACCTCTCCTGCGGCCCGCTGCTCCCCTCAGCAGTATACTTTGGTCCTTATGCCTGCTCTGCTCCCCACTCTGTCTCTGGTGAATTCTCTCACCCTCCTGCACTTCTGACTGTACCCAGTGCTTGTATAAATAAATAAATAAATCTCAAAAAAAAAAAAAAAAATTCGACCCTTATTAAAAAAAAAAAAGTGAGTTCAGAACTTTCTCCTTCATCTCTCTGGTCTTTTCAGCTTCCTGGATCTCCTAGAAAACCCTTATATTACCTCATTTAAGTCCCGGATTTCATTTTCTGCCAAAGAAAGTATAGCAAGACTTCTGGGTAGATAAGCAGGTACCATTCTAAGAGAGGTGATGATGTTTCCATGTAAAAGCAGGGTCTTGAAAGTAAAAACAGGATGAAAAACAAATGAAAAGATTACAAATAAGTTGCTCTATTTTGACAAGACTGATATAGTATGTAATTTATTATACTTCTTGTCACAAGCAAATCAAAGACTGTTAATAATAGATGGTCTGGATGAAGTATCTCTTTTTACATCTAAGTTTTTTTTAAGATCAAGAAACTTTAGAGACGTCCAAGAATACATGCTTGGTATCATAATTAGCATGTTGTGAGATTTAAGTTATTAAAACTTGACTAATTTAAATCATATTTGTTAATTTTTTTAAAAACATCAAAAATTAAAAATATAAAAATAAAACATCAAAATAGAGGGTGAGAAAAAAGGAAAACATTCATTAAAACTAGCCAGTATAAAGCGAATTTTTAAAAAGTGAAAGAGAGATAACTCACAACCCATAATTTATAAGTGTATTCTCTTGGTAACTAAAGGCTTAGGAAGGTAGAATGTGCTACTTGCATGGGAAGCTAACTCAAAGTAAGTGAGCAACACTGAAGAATGAACCAAAGATTCTAACACCCAGGATTCTGATAAGACAATCATGCCCTTCATTTCAGGAGAAAAAAAAAAAGTTCAATCATCTTAGTTCATCCAAATTCTTTTATCTAGCCAAATGTTTTTGGCAGTATTATCTACATCAAATGTTTAGAACAATTGTTGTTAAAAATTATTTCTGCTAAAAAAAATTATTTCTGCTAAAAATATCAGGAAAATTGAGCTAATCTACTGCTTCAAAGCCTTAATGAGTTCATTTGATGCCAATAACATCCAATGAAGCAAGTGTAGATAAAGCCTACATGTTTTTTGAAGCTGTGATTCCAACCTTTATTTGACACATTAATTCCCATAAAAAGTGCTATGCTACACACTTTTTTTAATTAAAGCAAAGCTAATTTTGATAATTTGGTAATAGCTCTCACTAAAAAACAGCAATCTTAAGCATCAAAAATTAGACTATAGTTTAGAAATGATTACTCTCAACCTCCACAACATGTTGCATATCACATAACTAAAACTGCTAGCACTGACTGGCTGGATATGACAGAAATTTCATCATGTTCAGAGAATAGCAAATAAAAATTAACTTTAACTACAAAGACCAGTTTGAGACAAAGCAGATAAATTACAGATCTATTTTATTAGTTATAGATCTAAAAACAAACAAAAGTCACATATTTAATTTTTATCATGAAAAATGAACATAATCTATTCTTCATATACAGTAGGCCTATCTTAGGCCAATCAGATCATATTCTCTTGGTATTTTAGTATAAAATTTCAGAAATGACATCATCAGAAAACATGCTTACCTTCAGTGATACTAATTTAGATAGATCACCTATCTGGGGTATATTATTATCTGATAAATCAAGGTGCTGAAGAGCTGTGCAGCTATTGATTTGTTCCATGGCCTATCACAAAAAAAAAGGAATCACATTATTTTATGCACATGAAATCAATCAAGGAAATTCTTCCCTAGTTCCTCAGAGTTGAGTCTCCAACTTCCTCTGCTTCTTACTGGAAGCAAAGGACCAGGGTTTAGCAGGAGAAGGCAGTGCTAACAGAATTTTGTAAATTATTACGTAGCAAGCTTCTACCTCATCATCCCTCTAAAAGTAGAAGGATACTGTAGGATAAGGAAAAATGTCAGGCTTTTCTGCCCTCCCGCCATCAGGATAGATGATGGATCCTTGCGGTCCTGAATGCATGCCTGATGGCGGGCACCTGGAGTAGGGTGTGGGCATAGGTAGATGAGATTCACCTGGGCTGAGGCTGGGCTTTTAATGGCGGCGTCATGGGGATGCCAGCAGAAGCCAAGAAGCCGAGAACGAACAGAAGCTGAGAAAGAAGCAGAGAAGGCCAGAGAGCCCAGATCGAGGACTTGCTGGGGGCTGGGAGGCCTGCCAGCCTCCCGGCCCCCCAGCACCCTTGCCTGCTGTGTACTGGGTAAATCCCAATAAAAGACCTGCAAAAAACCACTGAGGACTCCGATTCCTCCTTTACCCGGTCTGCTGGATCCTAAAAAACCTGCCCTGTGTCTATTCCTGCCCTTACAATTGGCGTAAGTCGGCAAGATGATCCATGCAGACGGGCATTGGAGCCCTCTGAAGACCTGGAGGGACTAAGGAGTAACAGACTATTTGCTTGTGATGACGTGGAAGCGTTATGGCGGCACAGAAGGTGGACACCATCCAGGAGCTGCGGGACGAGACCTCAGCTAGAGGAGAAGACACCCGAGAGAACCAGCCAATGACCCCTGAGGCAGCAAGAATCGTCGGGAAGAGAGGGTCATGATTCGGATCTCGCCAGTGATGATGGCAGGGAGAGGCCTAATGGACTTGGGCTGATGGACTAACAATCCCGTCAGAAGGCGGAGGACCTTGGCAGGTGGTGTTTTTTTAGAGAATCTGGGGGTGGCCAGTGGGCCTTGGTGGCCAAAAGCAGCCTGTGTATGCCCAGCAGCTAAGCAGAGGAAAAAAGCCAACTGAGAAGGCAAAAGCTGGTACTGGTGCTAAGTTTGGGAAACCCTAACGGGCTGTTAAGCACTAAGTAAGCTGAGGAAGGACAGCGAGTCTCGTAAAATCACCTGTGGGTGATGCCCTGCTCGTTGTCGAGTGAGGGTGAGGAGCTGAGGAACCCGTCCTTGGGGGACGGGTGGGGAACATGGCTTGGGGTGGAGCCCAAGTTGAATGTAGAGTTTGTATCCAAGGATCCACGACCCATGTGCTTGTGCAGTGGGTTGGCCTGAGTGCAGGGGTCTGCGAGTCGCGTTGGTGGCTATGAAGGCCGATTGTTGGAGCGACCGCAGACAGAAACCCTGAGGATTGGCGATTACCCCCAACAGAATAGAATCGCCAATCCCAGAGCGAGTGCATCCTGGGGGTGGATGCGGTGTGTGGCTTGTAGCCGAGACTACAGCCAGAGAAGGCCAGAAAGCCTGACGGCTCCTGGCGTGTTACAGTAGATGCCTTGAGTGATTTCCCCTCCCTAGTATGATCAGTGCCTTCAGCAGCAGATTTGGTGGCTCATCTGCTGGTACCAATAATTGTCTTTTGCCACTAGGTTGGGGCCCTGCCTGGACTTATTTGTGTTCTGTTGTATTTTGTTGTTATATTGTGATGTATTTGCTTTTGTGGGCCATGGCTGCATTGTTTATGTTTGCTAAGAAAATTGTATATGTATAGACTATATGGCAGAAAACCCCGAGGGGGTGGACTGTAGGGTAAGGAAAAATGTCAGGCTTTTCTGCCCTCCCGCCATCAGGATAGATGATGGATCCTTGCGGTCTTGAATGCATGCCTGATGGCGGGCACCTGGAGTAGGGTGTGGGCCTAGGTAGATGGGATTCACCTGGGCTAGACTGGGCTTTTAATGGCGGCGTCACGGGGATGCCAGCAGAAGCCAAGAAGCCGAAAAAGCAGAGAACACCAGAGAGCCCAGATAGAGTGAGGACTTGCTGGGGGCTGGCAGGCCTCCCAGCCCCCCAGCACCCTTGCCTGCTGTGTACTGGGTAAATCCCAATAAAAGACCTGCAAAAAACCACTGAGGACTCTGACTCCTCCTTTACCCAGTCTGCTGGATCCTAGAAAACCTGCCCTGTGTCCATTCCTGCCGTTACAGCTACCAAGGGGTTCATATCACCCCAGATATTCAGGAACTTGAAAAAACCTTAGTGATGACACCTGACAGTTGGTATGCCACAAATTTTACAAGTTAAGTGGAGCCCTAAAACCTTGATCCAAATACTGGCTGTGTAACTTTAGGGAAGTTACTGAATTTCTCGATCCTTCAGTTTCCTTCATCTATGTAATGGAAACATAATTATACCCACCTGGGTTGTCATAATATTGAGAATGAGTTAAAACCGTTAAGGTGCTTAGAATAATACAGTATAAATTGCTCAATAAAAGTCAGCAATACATATCACTCCAGTTCCCTCACCTAGCATATCAAAAGACAACACACACACACATACACACACGACAGCACACAGGTATTTACTAACTTATCTCAAATTATAGAGCTATTAAGTGGTGGGAATAGGACTAAGAATTTGATCTCCTGACTTTTAAAACAGTATATTCTCCACTATACCATTAAATATTTACTTAGGGCCTCCCTGGTGGCACAGGGGTTAAAGTCTTAGCATTATCATGCTGTCACCAGCCAACGCAGCATGAGTTCAATGCCCTGCCAGGGAACTAACCCACATAGCACAGCAGACCTCTGTTGTCTGACTGCTGCTACCCTCAACAGTGTATTTCAGTAGATCTGCCTGTTCTGGGCCCCACTGTCTCTGGTGATCCTCTCACCCCCTGTACCTCTGGCCTACACCACAGTTCTTGTATGCGTAAATAAATAAAATAAATCTTTTTAATATTAAATACTCAACGTTGAATTCAGTATGATATAATCTTCTTCCTACTATTCATTCCACAGTTGATCTACTTTTCTAAGTATAATATTTCACATTTAAAAGAATATTCTATCGCACATATATATTTTTTTAAGATTTATTTATGTGTACAAGAACTGGGGTGCAGGGAGTAAGAGGATTAACCAGGCCAGGGACTGAATTCTGCTGCAGTGGCTGGCGATGGCTTGATAGCACTGTCTTTAACCCCTGCACCACATATATTTCAACATGAGATTTTTTTTTTAAATTTATGTCAATTGAAATTACCCCCGGAGAATGAAAGTGGATACTTTCACATTTTATTCTATTTATTTCTATACTGTCTAAGTTTTTTTTTCCTATAGTAAATAATTTTATAAATTAATAAAAGGAAACTTAATTACTAAAAAAAGAGAAACTATTCACCTTGATATTATTTCCTGCCAAATTCAGCCATTCCAAATGTACCAGCTCCTTTAGCCCTTCCACATAGCCAATGCTATTGTGAGGCAAATTTAACACCCGGAGTTGGGTAAGTTTGGCAACACCCATCATCCGTACCAGCCGATTATTAGCCACTGATAACTGTGGAAAGTAGACATATCATTATTCTTAGAAACAAAAGATAAATATATTACTTTCACATTAAGGTAAAGTTAAAAAGATATGCACACATTGTCAAACGCTCCAAAATACATAAACCTAATTTGTACTTTTCTTATAGGCTGTCTAAATATACTACAGAGTAACTATTACTATATTGCTATTGTTGCTATTCCCAAACTATGCTAAATATAAAACTGGGTGATCAGACCCACACCAACTACTAAAGAGAAAACACTTTTAACACAGCAATGACTTGAGACAATAAGCTCCACAAAAAAACAGGGTCTAGTCCACATATTATCTGTCAAATTCTAAAACAGTCCAAGACACACAAGAGGGCCACAATAAATGTTTGTTGAATGAATAAATACATGAATGCGGTACCCCCATTAGGAGGTAAAATCTTAACATATTATTTTGCCAATAAAAATCTTTTTCACTTTAAATAACTTTTTTCTTTTAAAAAATACTCTGAATGAAACATTTATACGTTCATCTTAAGAAGCAACTGTCATGTAAAAACTTGGAACATTTACTGCTTGCCAGTCCTACAAAATTACTTCTTGTTATTTGTTTTATTTTGTTTTAAATAAATTGGTTCTGTGTAGCTATTTCCCCATATAGTAATACCTACCTGTATTAATCGTCTGCATTTCTCAAGATTTTCCAATTTAATAATCTGATTTTTATCCAGAATCAAAGTATGAATATCAACTTCACAGGGTAAGTTTGCACTTAATTTCTGTAGTCCCTGCCCTGACCAATTGACCACTGATCCTTGAAACGAGAAAGAAAATTGTTAGAAAACACAAATACAACAGTTGAACATGGGGATGAAATTATACTCATAAAATCTTTATACGTTTAGAGTAAAACAGTAAAAACCATAACAAATAACAAGATTTAAAAACTAAAGCAATGTGGGCCTCCTTGGTGGCGCAGGCAGTTGAGCACAGCACTGTGAAGCTGTCCGTAGCCTCTGCAGTGCCAGTTCCATTCCCTCTGGCCGCGGAGCAACCCAAATGGCGTGGCAGACTCTCCTGTCTCGCCCGCTGCTCCTCTCAGCAGTGTATTTCAGTCATTCTGCCTGTTCTGTTCCCCATTCTGTCTCTGGTGAATCCTCTCACACTCCTGCACATCTGGCCTGTACCCCAGATCTTGTATAAATAAATCTTTAAAAAAAAAAAAAAAAACTAATGCAATCAGGTTCTAAATGACCAGATTAAATGATTCATATTCCCCAGAAATATCAAATGACAACTAGATTTTTGATAATCTACTCATTTCTAAAATGCAGTACTTTGGAATTCTTCACATTTAAATATCAATTATTCCATATTTTGTGATTAGTGATGCAAAATTTTTAAAAAAATGCTTATTTTGTATTTTCTTACATCATTGTTCATTTTTGTACAATATTTGATTTCTCACTCAGGTGTAGTCCCCATAATTCTCCCACAACCACAGCACCCTTGATCGATGCTCTTTCCTCCCCTGTTTTGATCCTTCTTCCTTTCTCTTCCCCACTTATGCCTCAGACCTCTTGGTTTGGCTGCAAATTTTGTCTTTTTTCTTACCCTTTGTTCATCTTCCCTAAAGTCTACCTATATGTGAAAACATCCTATATTTTTCTTTTTCTCCTTACTTATTTCGCTTTGCATAATCCCTTCCAGTTCTATCTATGTTGCTGCAAATGGCGTGAGTTTATCTTTTTGATAGCTGAATAGTATTCCATTGTGTATATATCACATCTTCTTGATCTATTCATCTGTTTGGGGGCATTTAGGTTGCTTCCATATCTTAGCTATTGTAAATAGTGCTGCAATAACGACAGGAGTGCAGGTTTCATTTATCGGTGGAATATAGAAAACCCAAATGGTCAAAGACAAACTCTGAAAGCTGACCATATATATCAGCATCCATGAGGGAGGGGTGAAAAGAGAGAGGGGGTGAAGAGCACAAGGGAATGGGCCTCTGCGGTGGTGCAGCAGGTTGAGCGCAGCGCAGTGAAGCTGTTCACAGCCTCTGTAGTGCGGGTTCGATTCCAGGCTGGCCAGGGAGATTCCCACATGGCACCACAGACCTCTCCTGACTCACCCGCTGCTCCCCTTAGCAGTGTTTTTGGTCTTCTGCCTGTTCTGCTCCCCCCTCTGTCTCTGGTGAATCCTCTCACCCTCCCACGCATCTGGCCTGTACCCCAGTTCTTGTATAAATAAAAATAAATCTTTAAAAAGAAAATAAAAGGGACTCCCCTGGTGGCGCAAGCGGTTGAGCACCACGCTGTGAAGCTGTCCGCAGCCTCTGCAGCGCCGGTTTAATCCGGGCCTGCCAGCGAGGGTCCCACATGGCGGGGCAGACCTCTCCTGTCTCACCCGCTGCTCCCCTCAGCAGTGTATTTCATCAGTCTGCCTGTTCTGTTCCCCGCTCTGTCTCTGGTGAATCCTCTCACCCTCCCACGCATCTGGTCTGTACCCTGGTTCATGCATAAAGTAAATAAACAAATCTTTAAAAAAAAAAAAAAAGAGCACAAGGGAATACAGTGATGGACTATGGGCTAGTGGTAGTGGGAGAACTACAGTGACCACACCTGAGGGGAGAAATCATATGTTGCCCCAAAACTAATAACAATATAAGAAAGGATAACGTTTAAAAATTAAAAAGAAACCCAGTATTAAGACAGCATTCCCAAAGCTATCTGAATGTTTCTGGGCTCAAGCCCTCACTTTTGATTTTTTAATAAACTTACTTAATTTTGATTGATCTTCAGTTAATTTTGTCAACAGAATCTATGTATCAGTATATCCTTAAGTGCCCAAACCATTTTGAAACTCAGTGCCGTTACCATAGCTACAAAATGGGAAAATATACCTAATTAATCAAATTGATTTGAAATTGAAAAGACACCATCTGAACAGCATTTAGTAGAGTTCCTGGAACACAACACTCAATAAAGCACCTTAGTATACCAGACATTTAAATGTTCACTGGGCCTATTACCCATTGTGGTATTTTGGGTATGTTATTGATTTTTTTGTGCTCTGGAAAATGGGGATGAAAATAATACCTGCCGTGTAATACTGTTTCACAGAGAAAATGAGATAATGTAAGAAAAGCACTCAGAACATAGCCAGCCTCATTAGAACTGTTCTTTGTAAATTAATGTTAACTACTATTGTTCGTTAGTGGACTGGGGAGGTGAGGCTGCTAGAGGGGGCGGGAACAGAGAAACTGCCACTTTCAAACTTATACCCAGATTAAGGTTACTGTAGGAGAGATTATGGGATATTACTCTCCTGGAGGATTTCAAGGTTTTCCCATTGTCTACGGCTTTTAGCGCGAGGTGGGGGGGGTGAGGGGGGGAGTTGTGACAGGGATCAGGAATTCTCTGAGAATTTGATGAAAGCTGTGCACTGTCCTGGGAAAAAGCACAAACTTCACTCAAATTCTAAGGGGTCGACAGACCTCTTAGAACTATGGCTCTCTCCCAGCCCCACCCTCACGATCAAGAAGTTAACAGCCCCTGGTAATGATCCCAAGATCTAAGCACTCTGCTCTGGACCCAGATGGCTGCTGCTGAACCCAGGGGCTGTAACCAAAACAAAGGAGTTGGTCTTAATGCCCGCTGGTTTCCGCCACCGAAGCACCTATACCCGCGCTCCGCTGGGCAGAGACCAAATCCGGTCCCAGAACTCCGTCTGCTGAACAAGAGGTGGAGAAGTGTGGGCTCTGGGTCATCCCCATCTCTTCCCACGACCACCGGACACGTCCAAGAAAAGGTTTAACGTCAGTCTAGGAAACTGTATTTGAGAAAGGGTTTTCTGAATGAACTAAAAACCAAGCGGGCAAGGAGGACGCTTTCAGCGGAAGAGAGAGATGTAAATTTCACTTGGGCACCCAGAAGTCAAAACTAAACACGCAGTAAAGGTCACTGCCGTCGGAAACCCACCGCCCCGCAGCCTCAGAGCGCGCGAGCGCGGGAGCCAGAGCACCCGACCGCACAAAGGACCCTGGGGCTTGTAGTCCCCCTCTCGGCCCTCGACTCCGTACTTAAGAGCTGGGTAGCACCCAGGGACTACAACTCCCGGTGGGCAACGCGCGTCCGCGACGCCCATAACCTCGCATCAAAGGAATTGGTACAGAACTGCACCCCTAAAACCAGGTTTCTTCTCCCCACCAGGTAACTATTTAATTCAACTCCATGGCGTTAACCTCGGGCCTCGGGGTGGGGATCACCTTACCTTCTCCGGCAGGTAAAGCCGCATCGACGCGCGCCACCGCCATACCTTCCGCTTACTAATACCAAGCAACCGTCCTCCCCGACTCAGTAGAGCTTGTAGTCTACGGAAGGGAGCCGGAAACTACAGCTCCCAGGATGCACTGCACCCAGAAGCCCCAATTGGCTGCCTACGCCTAATATTGTAAAGCCAGTTAGAATCTGAGCCGGCTGTGAGCCCAGAAACTCGAGTCAACTATTTGATGGCTCGGTAAACTGTATTATTATATAATCATTTCACGACCTTTGCTAGGCGTTAGCGAAATGTGACGCTTTCGCCATTTGGGTTAATATAGGTCGCTGCTTAATACAAACCGAATTTTAGTGCTCATTATCAGAAGTGTGTGGGAGCTATCCCTTTTGACATTCTAAATGAGCTTAGAGTCCCCACCCTTCTGTAGCAGTGACTTGGGCGATCTTATTGAGATTTCCAAAAATTGGATAAATTTTATTTTTAAATTTAGTTAAAGAATTCTTGCTGAGGTAGCTTTTATTTTTTTTAATAATAAATTTTATTTTTATATTCCCCATACAATTGCAACCCCCTGGGCCTCCCCGGTGGCGCAGCGGTTGAGCGCTGGGTTGCGAAGCTGCCCGCGGCCTCTGCAGCGCCGGTTCGATCCCCGGCTGCTCCCCGGCCACCGGAGGCGGGTCCCACATGGCACGCAGACCTCTCCTGCCGCCCGCTGCTCTCCTCAGCAGTGTACTTCGGTCCTTCTGCCTATTCTACTCCCCGCTCTGGCTCTGGTGAATTCTCTCACCCTCCCGCACTTCTGACTGTACCCAGTGCTTGCATAAATAAATAAATAAATAAATAAATAAATAAATAAATAAATAAATAAATAAATAAACAAACCAACCAACCTTAAAAAAAATTTAAAAAAAAATTGCAACCCCTTATTTTGACCCCAACCCCTCCCATCCCCGCCCCCCACCCCCCATAGAGTGTCTCTGGTTCATAGTTTTTGTTGATTTTGATTTTCACTTTCTTATAGTTATTCATTTTCCTGGTCCCTTATTTAAGTTTTCTAGATTCCTGCTATGAGTGAGACCATCCGGTAATTTTCTTTTTCTTTCTGGCTTATTTCACTGAGCATGATCCCTTCCAGCGCCATCCATGTTGCTGCAAATTGCATGTGTTTATCTTTTTTGAATGCTGAGTAATATTCCATGGTATATATGTACCACATCTTCTTGATCCAGTCATCTATTTTTGGGCATTTGGGCTGTTTCCAAAGCTTAGCTATTGTAAATAGTGCTGCTATAAACATAGGTGTGCAGGTGCTCTTTGGAATTGATGTTTCTGTGTCCTTTGGGTAAATACCTAGGAATGGAATTGCTGGATCATATGGAAGCTCTATGTTTAGTAGGTCCAGAAATCTCCACACAGCTCTCCATAGTGGTTGGACCAGTTTGCACTCCCACCAACAGTGCAGAAGAGTTCCTTTTTCTCCACAACCTCGCCAACATTTGTTGTTGCTAGTTTTTTTAATATGTGCCATTCTCACTGGTGTAAGATGGTATCTCATGGTAGTTTTGATTTGCATTTCCCTGATTACAAGTGATGTTGAACATTTTTCATATGCCTGTTGGCCATTTGAATTTCCTCTTCAGAGAAGTTTCTTTTTAGCTCTTCTGCCCATTTTTTGACTGGATTATTTTCTTTGTTGTTGTTGAGTCTCATCAGCTCTTTGCAGATTTTTGTCATCAGTCCTTTATCATTAGTGTTGTGTGCAAAAATGTTCTCCCAGTTGGAGGGGTTTCTCTTTGTTTTGGTTATTGTCTCTTTTGCTGTGCAGAAGCTCTTTAATTTGATGTAGTCCCAGCTGTTGATCTTTGCCTTCACTATCACTGCTTTGGGTGATGTGTCTGTAAAGATGTCTTTGATGTGAATATCACGTAGTGTTTTGCCTATATTTCCTTCTATGTATTTTATGGTTTCAGGTCTTATGTCTAGTTCTTTAATCCATTTTGAGTTGATTTTTGTGTATGGTGTGAGGTAGTGGTCAAGCTTCATTCTTTTGCATGTAGCGACCCAGTTTTCCCAGCACCATTTATTGAACAAACGTTCTTTGCTTCAATGCATAGTCTTTGCTCCTTTGTCAAAGATTAGTTGACCATAAATCTGTGGGTTTATTTCTGGATTTTCTATTCGATTCCATTGGTCTATATGTCTGTTCTTGTTCCAATATCATGCAGTTTTGATGATTATGGCTTTGTAGTATAGTTTGAAGTCTGGGAGTGTGATGCCTCCATTCCCTTCTTTTTTTTTCAGGAGAGCTTTGGCTATTCGGGGTTTTTGGTGATTCCATATGAATTTCATCAATAATTGTTCTATTTCTTTGAAGAATGACATTGAAATTTTGATTGAAATAGCATTGAATCTGTATATTGCTTTTGGTAGGATGGCCATTTTAATAATGTTTATTCTTCCAATCCATGAGCAGGGGATGTCTTTCCATTTCTTTGTGTCTTCTATTTCTTTTAATAGTGTTTTATAGTTTTCTTTGTATAGGTCCTTTACCTCTTTTGTTAGATTTATTCCCAAATATTTGATTTTTTTTGTTTCGATAATAAAAGGGATGGTTTTTTTTATTTCTTCTTCTTCAGATTTATTGTTTGTGTATAGGAAGGCTACTGACTTTTGCATGTTGATTTTGTATCCTGCCACTTTACTGAACTGATTGATGAGTTGAATTAGTTTTTCTGTGGAGTTTTTAGGGTTCTCTATGTATATTATCATATCACCTGCAAATAGTGATAGTTTGACTTCTTCTTTTCCTATTTGGATTCCTTGGATGTCTTTCTCTTGTCTTATTGCTCTGGCTAGGACTTCCAGTATTATATTGAAAAGCAGTGGTGAGAGTGGACATCCTTGTCTTGTTCCAGATCTTAATGGAATTGCTTTCAGCTTTTCACCATTGAGAATGATACTGGCTGTTGGCTTGTGATATATGGACTTTATGATGTTGAGGTATGTTCCTTGTATCCCAAGAATTTCAAGGGCTTTTATCATGAATGGGTGTTGCACTTTGTCGAAAGCTTTCTCAGCATCTATTGATATTATCATATGGTTTTTATATTTCTTTTTGTTGATGTGTTGGATAACGTTGATTGATTTCCGGATGTTGAATGAGGTAGCTTTTAGACAGTATTTTTAAGTGGCTGTTCTTGAATTTTTTTTTAAATTTATTTATTTATGCACACAAGAACTGGGGTATAGGCCAGAGGTATGGGGGGGTGAGAGCATTCACCAGACACAGAGTGGGGAACAGAACAGGCAGATTGACTGAAATACACTGCTGAGGGGAGCAACTGGCAAGTCAGGAGGGGTCTGCTGCGCCACGTGGGTGGCTCCCTGGCCGGGGCTCAACTCATGCTGCAGTAGCTGTGGATAGCTTCATAGGTGTCTTAACACCCTGCCCCCCAAGGGAGGCCCTGTTTCTTGAATATTTAACAGAACTTTGACCTGGGAGTATATTTACTCAGCAAGCACCTAGAATTTTTCCAGGAAATAGATAAAAGTTGACAATATGGTCTCCAACTGTAAGAATTAGGTTTTCTGGAGGGGAGTAGGCTCACACTTTTGACATAACTATTACCTCCTAAATTGTGTGCTTTAAACTCTGAACTCAAAACTTCAGGGAATAGAAAAAGAAACAACCCGTAGTCTTCAGGAAAAACTTGAAGGAGGTAGTGAAATGGAGCTAGAGACTAAAAGACTAAACAGTAAAAGACAAGACATTAGCATAGGCCGCAGGTGGTAATGAATCTATGCTTACAAGAAATGGGGGGAAAAAGCTAATAGCACCACAGAATGTACAAAAGGAGCTTTCAATTTCTACTACACACTCACCCATTCTGTCTTGAAACCTTTATTCTGAACCCCTCTCCTTCTCAAAAAGCATCAACCAAAATCTCTGGTAATTTTTGTTTGGGAAAAACTTGTAATCACACTGCTAGATTTCTGGACAGTTTGTGAGCATTCCCCCCTTTCTGGGTTCTCCTCCTCTCTTTCTGACTATACCACTCTTCTTTTTTTTTTTTTTAAACTATCTTTCCCACTGTTTTATTTATTTTTTTAAAAGATTTATTTATTTATGCATACAAGAACTGGGGTACAGGCCAGAGGTGTGGGTGGTGAGAGGATTCACCAGAGACAGAGTGGGGAACAGAACAGGCAGACTGACTGAAATACACTGCTGAGGGGAGCAGCGGGCAAGTCAGGAGAGGTCTGCTGTGCCATGTGGGTTGCTCCCTGGCCGGCCGAGGCTCAAACTCGTGCTGCAGTGGCTGCAGATAGCTTCATAGGTTGTGTCTTAACCCCTTGCACCAACAGGTAGGCCCTCTTTCCCACTGTTTTAATCTGGAGACAAACTTCCTAGATTTGAAAAGGGAATTAAGACTAAAATTTTTTCCTCTTAATCAAGAGACCCTTATATAGAAAACTCAAGTCTTGGGCCTCCCCGGTGGCGCAGCGGTTGAGCGCTGGGTTGCGAAGCTGCCCATGCCCTCTGCGGCGCCGGTTCGATCCCCGGCTGCTCCCCAGCCACCGGAGGAGGGTCCCACATGGCCGCAGACCTCTCCTGCCGCCCGCTGCTCCCCTCAGCAGTGTACTTTGGTCCTTCTGCCTGCTCTGCTCCCCGCTCTGGCTCTGGTGAATTCTCTCACTCTCCCGCGCTTCTGACTGTACCCAGTGCATGTATAAACAAAAACAAACAAATAAAATAAATAAATAAAACATGCCTCTATAAAAAAAAAGTTACTTTAAAAATAAATAAATAAAAATGTTTTAAAAAAAAAAAGAAAACTCAAGTCTTATTACGTAGGTATAAAACAAAGCAAGCCTTTAATATTGCCTTCTACTAACTCTTGTTCCTGGATATAGTGAGGATTGAGGAAAATCTGCAGCTCAGAAACGGAGAAAGGTTTATAATTCTCTCCAATTTAGCTGGGCAATGACATGGGGAAAAGATCATGAAAGCCCAAAGGGTACTTAAGAAGCACAGGTGCTTGCAAGTGTATAGTAACAGCAGAGCCAGAGTTTTGTCTGGCTCATCTGATCTGGAATCAG